CTTGCCTAAGGTGAGACCACATGTCTCATGTGTTCTGTTTAGGGGTAGGACTGAAGTCCAAGAAACTCTCATGAGTCAAGCTGCCAAACACAGTCACCCATCCAAGGACTCTCCGCGCACAACGTTGCTTAACTTCAACTGATTTGTGACCTGAGCTCTACACACAAGACCACATGCCAATACCACTCATGATTAATTGGTTATCGTGTTCGCTTGTCACACAAAACACTCGGGTTCAATTCCCCACATGGGTACAATGTGTGAAGCCATTTCTGGTGTCCCCTGCTGTGATATCAGTGTGCACGAATAGCGTCTGACCCTCTGACAAATCCGGCAGATTCGCCAAAGGTCCGATAGAAGTCTACAACCTACCGGAAACAGTGTCTGACTGTATATTTCACAATGACTTTGACTGAAGTTGTTATATGTGACATGTGACACTTGTTTGCTGCTCATAAATCTGATGTTTGTTAATAATTTCAATACATGTACCAATTATAAGAAATGTTCAATCTGAAATGTGTGTTTAATTTTATTCTATGGGTCCTGTGAATTTTCAATGGGTCAGGCAGACATCTGAAACTTACAGGACCCAATGTCCTGTTACTTTGAAACACCATTCGTGAACACTGTGATATTGCTGGAATATTGCTAAAAGTGGCGTAAAACTAAACTCACTCACCCATCATTAGCACTCACACATCACACACATTGCAAACGTGCAATAACCTTGAATAAACATTAAACATGACGTTGCCTGTGGATAGTTCAAGTCGTTTGCATGTATATATTTCATGAGATGGTCCCTCATTTCAAGCCATATGAGAATGAGCTATGTAGAATGTTGACTATCATGTGTCTGACATTCTGGCTACATGTATTATCACCCCTATACAACACATGGGGAAGGAATAGCACTTAATGGGGCTTCTTTGTCAGCACAGTTGTTGCATAGAACTGTTCTCATTGTCATCATTTTTATCTTCCGTGTCGGGCAGCTGCAGACTAATGCCTACTTTCAGAAAATATAAAATTATTATTTAAAATTATTTTGATAAAAACTCATTTAAATTGAAAAGGAGATTCAGTGAGATGGATAAATCCTGAATGCAATTAAAAATCTAGACCTGCTTCATTTAGGGATTTTACATCAGAGAAAGGGCTGGACGAAAGGGAAAATTTTGTGGTATGTGATTATTGTAAATGTTTTCGGCAGCTGGAAAGTAAGGTAAGGCTCTCAAACTAAATAATTTTGATAGAAACAACTAATTTTGTTTTAAATTCTGACCTGGGTACTGTGTGTAAAGCATATTTCTTGTGTTCCTTTGCAGTGATATACCAAAAACTAGCACTAACCGTTGAGATCATAGCGTCGGAATGGTTTCATTTTATTTTGTTTGTTGTTTAACGCCACACTCAGCAATATGAAAGTGGACTGTAAAACACACCTGGGCCAGACAATCCAGTGATTGACATCATGAGCATTGGTCTTTGCAATTAGAATATGATGACATGCGTCAACCAAGTACGGAGCCTGACCACCCGATCAGCTTTTACGACAAGCATAAGACTATTTCTTACCTGATTTTCAGAGGTTGAAAAAGATGTAAAATTCCTAAGAGTTTGTGACTCAAATTTTGTAAAAACCATGTATTTGCTGCCTGTACAATTTGATGGACACTCGGCAGTGCTATTATTAGGCAATGAGGAAATACATATCAGCATTGAATGGAACAGAGAAGTCGGACCCTTGAAACATGAGCTAAGTTGGAATTGAGGAAATTATTCTAAGCTGATCGTGTGATGATAATCCTCTTGAGTCTTGTGACATCTGCCCCACCTTCAAGTTCAATGTAAAATGTTCTCAGTAAGTCACCATGGTAACCCCATCCCTATTTTTTGGTTTATTTGGTTATTGTTTAATCTGCACATAGCGATTTCTAGCTGTATGGCGGCGGTCTGTAAATAATTGAGTCTGGACCAGACAATCCAGTGATCAACATCTTGAGCTTTGATTCATATAAAATACAATAAGTCATCAGCAGATGTATTAATTCAGTAGACCCGTGAAGATCCGGAGTAGAATAGGTCTTCAGCAACCCATGCTTGCCACAAAAGGCGACTCTGCTTGTCGTAGAGAGGCGACCATCAGGATCGGGTGGTCAGGCTTGCTGACTTGGTTGACACATGTCTTTTGTTCCCAAATGCATAGATCGATGCTCATGCTGTTGATCACTGGATTGTCTGGTCCAGACTCAATTATTTACAGACCGCCGCCATATATTAGCTGGAATATTGCTGAGTGCGGCGTAAAACTAAACTCACCCACTCACTCAAATTAAATATATCGAGTAGAGACTGATATTATTATCCAGCCTGGCTTGGGTATATTCCAATTTGCATGTCTAGCTTTGATAATTACCAAGAATATTCAAGTAAAAACATTGTTGTTTAAAAAAGTCATGACTATTCAATTTTAGTTATCACGAGAATGAATTGAATACAGTTCAATTCATCCAATAAACGAGTGAATTGTGACAGCGTAAGTAAACATGCACTTTCATACAAGTAATCCTGCGTAGGACAAGGTCACTGAACAGAACAGTTTCATGATTTGATCATTCACAAATGAAATCTGGGGAATCGGGAAATGGAATAATTGATTTTAATTGTCAGTGAACAGGAAGTGGTGATTGTTTTGCATTACAAATATGCAACTGTTTAAAATCCAGCTCATAGTGAAACGAAATTCAAAATTCGAAGGGTTTGACATGATCAAAGGTATACTTCTGTTCAGCACACTAAAATTCCTAAAGAGGCACATAAACATTATATTGAGTGCCCTGGGGCACATTTGAATACAAAACATTTCATTGTACATTGTATTCATTGCAGTAAAGCATATATCCTGATATATTGTATATATATTTCATATTATCTTACCTCACACATAAATGTCATTTTTTGATTGGCTCAAATGTCAATCAAATATTATTTTCAATGTACTCATCTTACAAGCGAGTAACATTTTCTATGTTACCCGCTGTGAATGCCGAACTGGGAATTCATTTGGTACTTTGTGTTACTAATTCTTTATCTCTAATATTTAAGTCCAGGCATAGAAATACATTTTTTTCTAAGTGTGCCTTAGGGCACCAGGAAAATATTTTAGGCGTGCCTTTCAGAAATCAGGTGTGCCCAGATGTTTTTAGAATAAATGACTGTAGCAAGGATGATGATCTTTTGAAATTTATTGTCAGAAAACAACAAATGTAACCAGTTTTCTGTTATCACCGATATGTCTTCTGTTTAAGATGGCTTTCTTATGTTTCATTTGTTCTGCTTTCCCAACACCTTTAATAGCTAAGAATTGTGTGAGAGGTTCACTTTTTTTCTATATATCTAACATACACAATTTCCTCTTCAACAAATGTTCAATAACTGAACTATCAGTACAACCAGATGTCTTTACATGAACCATCATAATTCCAGTGATTTCCTGGGCGATAAAGTCAATAAATGTTTTTGCCTGGTTGTCATTTGCATAAGTGTTTTGTTTGGTTATTAAGAGTCCAAAGGTGTGTTATGTCTCTAAAAAATTAAGGCGTGCCATAAGGGCACCGAGAACATTTTTATCCGTGCCATTTCGATATTTACCGTGCCATGGCACGCTAATATATGGGGTATTTCAAACCCTGGAGTCACTTATGATGTATGGAAATTAATGACGTTTTGCAAATGCAAATCAATGGAATGGAGGTAGCTCTAAATTTATTTTTCTTATCGTCTGCTAGATTCTATGCCATAGTATTGGCTAATTGCCTAACTCTGGTACTTCTTATTATGATCCGATACCTGTGCTTCAAACAGTTCAAAATTAGCACTGAGGTGTTCGGAAAGTTAAATGCTTTGTTCACTGGTCCCTCGGGGCCAATGGGTTGTTGTGCCCTCTATGTTTGGGCTCACGGAACATAGCCAAACATAGAGGGTACGTTGCATTCTACATGCGGCCAAGGCGGTTAGCCTGCCTATGTTTGAAAGAAGATTTGACCAAACCAAACATAGAGGGTACATCAACCCATGGGCCCCTCTGGTGACCAGTGAACAACTTATACTATAAACATGTGGAGTAGATTCAGCATTTGGTAAGTTATTCACAACGTTCACAGTAGCAGGGCTCCAGATAATTTTTGAACACCAGGAGTACGTACTCCTTATTTTTTCAATATAGGAGTACTCGAAAACCTTAAGCCTACATTTAGAGTACTGAATGGAATTTAATGGTGTATCAGTAACCTTGTGTTTCGATTCATATATACACCACAACATTGCTGCTATTGTGTAAACAGGTCAATATACAATAAAACAATACTTTTTCAGATAAATACGTCTGTAAATGATTCTAAGACCGTACACCATTGCCGTGGTGCGTATCTGCTACGTTTTATAAATTATTTCCTACCGTAATAGATTGTCGTTTCATTTGCCTGAAGCTGTGGGAATAAGTTTGTGAACTTCAAACTGTTTCTGTTGTAAAACTGCAGGCAGATGGTCGTTGGGACTTGTGTTAGTAGTAGAGTATTATGGTTTGTTAAAAATTATTGTAAATGTATTTAATCGCTGGTTAAATGTACTGATACTTGAAACAGGATTCTGGGTAAAAATTGGTCTCAAGCAACTTACATCATCGGTAGTGTGTATATACGATGTTTGATTGATTGTTTGTTGTTGTTTAACGTCGGACTCAGCAATATTCAGCTACATGACGGCGGGCTGTAAGTAATTGGTCTGTAAGTCATGAGCAATGAGGATGGGACCAGATAATCCAGTGATCAACATCTAACACAGATGCAATGATTTATACAATTGATTATTTACAGACTGCCACCATACAGCTGGAATGTTGCTGGATGTGGCGTAAAAGTAAACTCACTCACTCACTCATCTAAGGAAGAGGAGCCTTGATAACCTCTGAATAATTAATGTTTTTTATTTTCCAGATCCTGTACACCACCGTCCAGGGAACAGGAGCCCTGCTGGTGACCGGAGTGACCATCTCCCGGAAAACAACCACCTGCCCCGTCTCCACCATCTTTGAAAATAGGTGGGCCACACTTTCCCCCGATGATGGGCGACGCGCTGCTCTGCTTCAGCTGCTGCATCACCGAGCAGCCTCAGACGGTACGTAACCATGGTAACACGTGTAGATCACCATAGTAACACTAGGCAAGTAGCATCAAGTGATTCTGATATTTACTGTTGACATTTCAGACTGAAACCTAAACTGGAATTATAATATCTCCGTAAAAATACTCATATCGCCCAAAGAGATGATGACTCAGAATGTTTTCGAATGACATTCAAATGTATGTATGATAAAAATTCTTGCAAATACCCTGCCTCTCTTACATTTGATTACCACTAATTCCTTTGAATTACCAACCTCTTTTGTATCATTGCCATAATTCCCTTAATTTGGCTGTCATATCACTTTATAATAACATTCAGATTTTCAAGAGATGTCCTCTTCACCTTCATTTATCACAAGTAGTTGTGCAAGTAATAGTATCTTACTTTCGAGCCTCATGACAACAAGCGGAGGGGAAAAAAATCATCTCTTTCCTATGTGCTTATGTACATATCGGAAATGTTTTTATGTTCAACATATCATATTAACTTTATAGTTGTCATCCCTCTCGTAAATCTTCAGTTTAATGGTCGCTATATATAGACAAAGTGCTACCCAGGTAGCAACCATGGCTTGGAGAGGCAACTGTATTTGGGTAGGGTGGGGTCTGAATAGGACTAGGACGTGCACAGTTCTACCGAACCTGCATTGTCACGTGATATATTGCTGAATTATGTTACAAATACAGCTCCATTTGTGCACTACGTATTGCTGATAAGAAAGTAAGATTGTTTATGGACAACAACTTCTTTTATTATATATGATGCGACGTTTCGGTATAGATTCTTATACGTTGTCAAGCAAGAGTGACGTACTACAGCACAGAACAGACTTATATACACCAACAGGGATTAAGTAATAACAACAACATGTAGGTATGAATCTGAGTCTGTTACCATGGTTACACTGTAGACTTATGGGTAGGTTCAGGTAGTATTTGTTTGAGAACCCACATAGTATAAGTTTGGACTTGTTACACACCGAAGAGGCAACGCAGGATTGAAAACAGATGGGTCAAGATACACCTTTGAATATGGTTAAATATAAGTTATGTTCTGACTGTAATGGCCTGTATGTTATCCCATGGGATCTGACAGAGTTATCTCCCATCATATTCCACATGGGCGGTGGGGTAGCCTAGTGGTTAAAGTGTTCGCTCGTCACGCCAAAGACCCAGGTTCGATTCCCCACATGGGCACAATGTGTGAAGCCCATTTGTGGTGTACCCCGCCGTGATATTGCTGGAATATTGCTAAAAACGGCGTAAACCCATACTCACTCACTCACTCACTCACTCACTCACTCACTCACTCACTCACTCACTCACTCACTCACTCACTCACTCACTCACTCACTCACTCACTCACTCACTCACTCACTCACTCACTCACTCACTCACTCACTCACTCATATTCCACATAATACCACTCCCCATGCTTGAGGTTTGTTTGTATTCTTGCATTCATTACACTCAATGTTGTGTATGCATATATATATGCATGTAGTTTTGAAGGGATTGAGAAATAATTGTGTTACATAGTGGATGGTCATAGTGGGTTTAGAGAGGGATAGTGTGTTATGAAGTGCAGACATGCTTGTTGTAAGGGGCGACTAATGGGATCAGGTGGTCAGGCTCATTGACTTGGTTGACACACATGCATAGATCTGTGTTCATGCTCTTGATCACTTGATTGTCTGGTCCAGACTCGATTATTTGCAGACCGCTGCCATATAGCTGGAATATTGCTGAGTGCTGTGTTAAACAGCAGACACGAAAAACAAAAAAACTCTAAATGAAGACCACCCTGTCAAAACCACATGCACAAAGAGGTGTAAAAACATATTCACTAACTCAATAAATAAAGTCTTCCCCCATCATGAGCATATAAACATTTAAACTACATTGTAGGCCTTTGATTCTGATCTGAAGTGACGCTAGCACAATTTACTCTCAGAGAATAAGAGCTAGATGTAATATTACTTGTTTACAAAACGGCATACCAGATAGCGAGCCGTTTAATCTCAACTCCCGAATCCAGAAGAAAATGATCAGATGACCTTCTACCTTAATTCCAAGGAAAGATACTATTTTCCTAAATGCTGTTTCTGTTCGCTGGGTCTGTGATAGGCATTGCAAATATACAGGCACATGATGAAGGTGGGCTGGGGATAGATACAGTGGGGATACTGATCTGGGTGGGCCTGGCTGCTAGTGCTGCAGGAGGAATCAAACACCATGTTGTGTAGCCCTGTATCACTTACAATGAGTCAGTGTCTGGTGTTGACAGAACAGGCTTCATAAAACAGGCTTTGCACAGTTAAAAGAATTTTTGAATTTAGATTCTGAATGTTAAAAATGTCAGTGTAGTTGAAAGGGTTGTGAATATTCTGATGAATTTCCATCTCTGATGAATTGATTTTGAAAATTACAAACAAGTTTTATGTCTGTTTAATGGAATGTCAGTAGAGTTATCTATAGAGTTATCTCCCTTCCCTTTTGATCAGTAAGTCAAATATATGTCCGAAACTGTAACTTAATAAAATGAAAGGGCTTCATATGCTAACTTTATTAAATGAAATATGATGGAGACAGGAAGTGACTTTGAATTGGGAAATGCTGTGTAGAATTATGTCCCTTTAGAATACCAGGATCTGCTGATTGAAGGCTTGAATCCCATATTCTTCCTTCTGATGTTCCTTAGTTTTCAAACATTGTAGCTGCTTCCCTCAGCATCTCTTGTTGTTAGGGGCATCTCTAGTGTTAATCGTTATCCCGAAGACCGGGTTGATCCCCCACATGGGTACAATGTGTGAAGCCCATTTCTGGTGTTTTGTAGCTGGAATATTGCTAAAGCGGCGTGACATAATCAGTCAAGTCAGTCAGTATTCGGTCTCTTGTTGTTATCCCCTAGATTGTTACTGAAATAGGTTTCAAAGTGACATAATAGCCAAGGTATTAGTGTTGGGAATTGGTTAAAATCTCATAATTGATGATTGGTTCATTACCACCAATCAATCACTGAAAATAATTGGTGAGCGTCATTTATGAAATTTGTTAATGCACAAAAAAAAGGAAAAAAAACCATGTAGTTATTTTGGGGGTGGTTGGGGAAAATTTCACATCTTTAAATGATGACTAGTATGTTAGGAACATAAATTTCTTTGTGTCTTTAAGATAAATTCAATCATGACTTGGAACGAGCTTATAGTGCTTATGAAATGTAACAGACAAAACCAACCTTGTGAAAAATATTGTTGATGAAAACAAGTGTTCCAGAATTGTTTGTGTTCGATTATGAGAAAACGTGATTGATTGCTTGGTCGTTTAGTCACTGCGACCAATCTTCGATTATTTCAATTAATCGGATCACCACTACAAGGTATGAGTTAGGTAAAAAGTGTTTCAAAGGAAAACATTATTGTACAGTTGTACACAATTCTGGTTTATCATCTCCTGCCATGAAGTGGGCGGGGGATATTGGTTTGAGCTCTGTCCATCCGTCCATCTGTCCGTCCATCCGAAATAATTTGGACAGATTTTCTCAGATAGGGAAACCAATTTGGCATGTGTTTTTAGGACATGAATGCTTTGATGGAGTTCAAAAACAGAAACTGTGTTACGATTCTTTACAGAGTTATGGCCCTTGTCATGCGTTTCTTGACTTAGTGCACGGTATCCCCAATGGAAACAGATTTTCTCAGTAACCGTTATAGACAGGGAAACTAAATGTTGTATGTGTTTTTAGGACATGAATGTCGTAGTGGAGTTGAAAAACGGGAATCAAATAGGAACAGAACACTGTGGCAGGGGATATTGCTGACCATGTCTTCTTGTTTACATTAAAGTAATGAAAACAATTCTGTGATGTACTTTTTTACTTGGCTGCTTTGTTTGTGATGTTTTAAACTGTTTTAGACCACTTTACATATTTTGGGGGCGGTGGGGTAGCCTAATGGTTAAAGCGTTGGCTCGTCACGCCACCGAAGACCCGGGTTCGAATCCCCACATGGGTACAATGTGTGAAGCCCATTTCTGGTGACCCCGCCGTGATGTTGCTGGAATATTGCTAAAAGCAGCGTAAAACCAAACTCAGTCAGTCAGTCAGTTACATTTTTTAAGACATTTGCCCATCATGATGTTGTAGAAGAATGTTTCTAGTAAGTTAATGTTATGTTTTACTTTTATGTTACTTTTGTTTTTAGACTCGACCTCGAAGAAGGATCGACCCCAGCATGATCGGCTTACCAACAGATTTCCGCCACACGACACACATAGGGTCAGGCGAGGTGAACAGCAGTGCTCAGGTAAATACTACCACCTATTGTTCAAGGATTAATGACATTCTATAGATGATCAACACAAAGCTCATGTTAATAGTGTCTCTATTTGTTCAAGGAGGAATAGGATTCTTTTAATGGTTAACAGTGCTTAGGTAAATAAGATCATTGGTCCAAAGTGGATTACTTGATCATTTTAGCATCTATTTATATACCCAATAGTATAATTTGCCTTAGTTAGCTGTACAGAGTTATGTCTCTTAGCTGTACCAGGATCAGCTGAAGAGAAATGGGTTCCAATCCCTTATTCACATTGTGATTGTTGGCTGGCTGGCTGGCTGGCTGGCTGGTTGGTTGGTTGGTTGGTTGGCTGGTTGGTTGGTTTAACGCCGCACTCAGCAATTTTCCAGCTATATGGCGTTGGTCTGTAAATAATTGAGTCTGGACTAGACAATCCAGTGATCAACATCATGAGTGAAAGTGAGTGAGTTTAGTTTTACGCCGCACTCAGCAATATTCCAGCTATATGGCGTTGGTCTGTAAATAATTGAGTCCGGACCAGACAATCCAGTGATCAACAGCTGTGATTCTTACTTTGTCAGCAAATGCCCATAGTTCTTGCATTAATTTCGTCTGTGGTCGAGTGGATAGAGTGTTGGTCTACACGGAGGAGGATTGGGTATCATGAAGCGTATGCAGGGTTTTACCTCGACTCACAAACATGGCGGTCCCCTAGGACCACTGTTTACAGTGTTATCAATTTTAAGGGTCCTTGCGAATAATACAAGCGTCCTGTGAAGTAGCGATGTAGAGAACTGTACGTTTTGATAATTTCTGTAGAGCCTGGAATGAATCATTGATCATCTGGACTGAGTTGTTGGCGATCAATAGCCCATTTTTATATTGTATTGTCCAATATAATTTCTACTTTTAAAGATATATGCTAACTAGTTTTACCTAAATTGTGATAACCTAGTAATTTTACTGTCCTTAGTTGACAAGGTTTCATATATTATATGTGTGCATTATGAATTTAGAATTAGTTTTAGTCACGATATGGCTGAAATATTGCCGATGTGACTTTAAATTTTAACTCACTCACTCACTCATCTGGACTGATGGATGAACTGATGCTCTGAAAGTGAGTGAGTGAGTTTAGTTTTACGCTGCACTCAGCAATATTTCAGCTATATGGCAGCGGCCTGTAAATAATGGAGTCTGGACCAGACAATCAAGTGATAAACAGCATGAGCATCGATGACATGTGTGAACCAAGTCAGCGAGCCTGACCACCCGATCCCGTTAGTTGTCTCTTACAACAAGCATAGGTTACTAGAGATCAATTCACAGGTTGCTCTGAAAGAAACAACCAAACACTTAACAATGTCAAAGATATGTCGTGGGTATAATGAGTGATATTGTGCATCAATCTGGATGTTTTCTGCGTCCATTCTCTACATTTGTGCGTACTGCATACAACCAAGGGATGATAAGTAACAGTGTTTGCCCTAGAGGGGCGGTTGGGTAGCCTAGTGGTTAAAGCGTTGGCTCGTCACGTCGAAGACCGGGTTCGAATCCCCACATGGGTACAATGTGTGAAGCCCATTTCTGGTGTCCCCCACCGTGCTGTTGCTGGAATATTGCTAAAAGCGGCGTAAAACCAAACTCAGTCAGTCAGTGTTTGCCCTCGGCATAAACATTTAGGAGTCATCATGACTCCCTGGTGTCATGAGAGGGAGTCATGGACATTTCGGGGGAGTCAACTTCAGTTTGGAACTTTCATCAACACACCAGCTGTGATTGTTTAATAACGACAGAAAAGAAGGTAAGGCAGGTCAGGTATTTAATCAGCACTGAGCAGTTAACTGGCAAACATTGAACTAAGTAGTTTTAACAACAAATTACAAGTTTAGATAATCTGAACTAAGGGCCCAGTAGCATTGCGTTAACAATGACGAAAGCTTCTAAATTCACTGCATATTTTAGATAGTTTGTGCGTCAAATACGTAGGTTTTCTGCATCAGGGCAAACACTGAAGTATAGATTTACATACTATGTTGTGAAACACAGCATATTAAAATTAACAACAGCATGTAATGTGATAACAAATGGCACATAATTGGATGAGACCAGTTGGGGACTAAGAATAACAAATAGGCGATGAAGCCAAGGGGGATTAAGCAGTAAAAACAATTCAGGGCTTGATTTAAGAGACATTAACCTACTTGCACCAGGTGCAACGTGAGATAAAAATCTAGTTGCACCTGCCAAATTCCAATTGCACTGCTTTTATTGCAATATGTAATGAAAGAAATATGCTATTGAATTATTCAAAGTTTAGAAGAAAAATGAGCTGACATTATTATGCCTGTAATGTGAGATTTATTGTTGATATATTTCTCAAAATTGACTTCCTGGTGCAAATAAGTTAGACAAATAACTAGGTTGAACTTTGTAATATTGGGTTGCACCAGTGCAAGTAACAAAGCACTAAATCGAGCCCTGCAAGCTGATAGGGTGCTAGTGATAGAATCTATCGTTTGAATAATTCTTCGTAGGCTGATCATGTGTAGTAAGTGGTTAGCTTCATTGTTGACTAAACAACTTCTATAGAATGTTGATCAAACAATTAGAGTATTGGTTTCAATAATAATAATAATAATAATAATGGGTACCCATTTTCCTGCTGGGTGAACAGAGACAATTTTGAACAAACTCACTTGCCTAAGGTGAGACCACATGTGTCACATGTGCTTTGTTGTGGGGCAGGACTGAAGTCCTAGAAACTCTCAGGAGTCAAGCTGCCAAGCACGGTCACCCATCCAAGGACTCTCCGAGCTCGACGCTGCTTAACTGCACCGATTTGTGACCTGAGCTTTGAGCACAGGACCACGCGCCGCCAATCCCCCACCTTGTCATACCAGAAGATAAGATCATGTTAGATGGCACTTTTTGTTACCCAGCCTGGCGTGGAGTCAGTATACTGAGGGGGCTATCTATGTGGGGTATAAAAGATCAACCTGTGTCCTGTGTTATCTGATATGGCTGACTCTGTATTACCTTAGTTCTGTATTAGTACCATCAGCCATGCAAGCATATTCTCCCATTTAGTGCAATAACCTGAATTTGAAATTAGACATGAAGGTCAAGAGGTCAGGGTCATAATCTTGTCTTAAGATTAAAGGGGCTGCTGGATGATTCTAAATTCAGATGCCATTGAAGACTATCCATTTTCATTTTAACTCCTTATGTGAATGAATAACCTAAATCTGTCCCCAAGACAAATTTAAACATATTTTCTACGACACATTTATTCATTTTCAGATTGATTCCATTCAAAACCAGATGTCATCAAAGGGAGGCGACTACGATGCTCTGTCTCCTGGCGAGCTGAAGCTGTCTGTTGTCGACCTACCTCCGCAGAACCCCACATAATGTACGTCCTGGTTATAGAGGCCATGTGTTAATTAAGGCTGTTACGATTCACTCGCATATTCGGTTAATCGAACCTTAGCCCTTCATGAATTCAATTCGTTATTCGTGGTCAGCAGAACCGAATATTAACGAATATTAACGAATATTTACGATTTTTTTAAGGAACCGTTATGGCCTTTTTCGTGAGATTTACTTGAATGGAATATGTACTAACCTTTATGGCCTTAGTTTCAAAGCCACAGGTACTGTACTATAAATGGAACCTACAGAATGTACTAGCCATATTGTTTAGCAGCGCCACCCTAACCCTAACCCTAACCCTAGTAAACTTGCTTTCAAAGAGGCGGAAGGTATGGTATTCTGTACTGTAACTATTACATACTAAATTTGAGTGTCAGGAGATCACTGGTTATTGCTGTGACAAATTAACACTGTCAACATGGAGCATCCATATTGTGCATCACTTAACTACAATATTGTATTCGTGAATAATTATTAATTATTACCCAATATTCGTGATACGTATCATAATTGCCACATAGTGTATTCGTTGCAGCCCTAGTGTTAATTATAATTAAATAAAATTAATTATAATCAAATCAAACTCAGAAGAATGTTAATTAAACCCTGGTCACATTCAGAATGAAAGTCTCCAATAGTCTGAATATTAAATAGTATCCGTCCTATAATTTTTATCTAAATTTCACCCTTGAATAATTTTCAATTAAAGTTCAGTCCCAAGATTTGTAGGACAAGGCCAAGCCATGGTCCACTTGTCATTTGATGTATATTTATTTTCAAATTTTTATTTCAGGGGAGGTAACTGGGAAGATTTGAGGATCTGCTGTCTATAGATATACCTTCACCTTGACCTGTGTCTGGGTTCAAGGTCATGTAAATAGTTCTAGGGTCAACTGCAATGTAAGGATGATGTCACAGCTGTATCGGTGCTACGTGTGCAGGCTCATTGTATCTTCGCCTGACGAGGTAACGCTTCACAGGCTGTCACAGAGGAGACAGGAGTGCTTGGATCCACATCTGATTATGTCGCCATGACAATTAGGAAGAAAAATTGGTTCCTTTCTTTGGAACCTTAAATTATTTTGGTATGAACCAGGAGTTGAACAAGATCCAAGAATTTCAATCAGTGCCATTTTTCTTATTATGGATGTGGTAGATGATGTTGGCATTTGGCACTGGCAACAATTGTTTGCTTTTAGAAGAAACGGTACCAGGATTTCATAAATTGTTCTGTATTTAAACAAACATTTTGTAAATAACAGAAATCGGAAACAGAAATGTTTCTCAGTTTGAGGTTCTTTTATTGAAGCAGTTTTAGGTGCTGGATCACCATTTTATTCCAAGACGTGACGTCACCAAAACCAGGAATGTATTGCCAGGAAACAATTGCAAGATCAGGACATCAACAAATGTGTGATTTCATTCTTGAAGAAGGAGTACCAAATTCAGTGGATCTGTGGTGGAAATTCTTCGTCTTGAACCAGTCAGCCATCTTTGTTGAACATCGTCGGTGATGGAAATACTGGCTGTTTTTCTACCATTGCTTGAAAATGTTTTTGATTATTTTAACATAAGTAGTAGGATGAATGAGGTTGCCAGGAATTAAAGGTTCAATGTCTCACCTTACTGTTAAACCCTCCGAGTCTGGACTCCATTTATCTGGGCACTATATGTCCAGACCCTTTTAATCCAGAAACCTGCTTTAATGATCATTATGGAAGTGGTCATCATTTTATCTCAATATTTTTATATTCAAAGGGACAATGGGCGCGGTTAGTTAATCCAGAAATAATATATTCAGGGTGCAGCCATACAGAAGAAGGGGGTTCCTTTGTGGACTCTTTCATTTAGCTTACCATACAGGGAGTGACCATTTGATAATAATGTGGAGTGGGCATTTTTCTGCAGAAAAGTATCCATGCCAACAAATGGATGTCTATTTTTCACTAGCATTTAATTGTGGACAAGGGTGTAGGTCTTCAGCAACCTTCGTTTGTCAGGAGCTGGGACTTAATGGATTGATTGAGTGAGCGACTGAGTTTAGCTTGATGCCGCTTTTAGCAATATTCCAGCAATATCGACACCAGAAATGGGCTTCACACAATGTGCCCATGGAGAGTCGAACCCGGTCTTCGCGTGATTTAGCCGAACGCCTTAACCACTAGGCTATCCCACGCCCCAATGGATTGAGAGAGCAGTGGGGTAGCCTTGTGGTTAAAGCGTTTGCTCGTCACATTGATGACCCGGTTCGATTCCCCACATGGGTACAATATGTGAAGCCCATTTCTGGTGTCCCCTGCTGTGATATATTGCTGGAATATTGCTAACAACTAAAACCATACTCACTCAAGCTCACAAGCGAAAAGAAATTCTGTGTATAGTGATGAAAGTAGTGGGAATGGGAATATCTCTTCAGAAACAAAGGTTGAAGGTGAAATGCTTCAGGGGATATATACTACTCACACTTTGCTAAGGATCACAAAATTCACAACTTTACTTAAACGTAGATTTAAAATTTGAAATTGTATCCATTTAAAACTGGATAAATAATGATATGGTAACACATCTTTAGGAAAACAGACACTTTAGGCTAACCGTATGCACTTGATACATGAGTAACCATAAAAATGGTTTTCATGGCACCAATCAACCATTTTGCAAATCATGGAACGGGTCGTTGATATGTACACAACACCTGTCAATAGCAGGTAGGGGATCCAAAAGATGAAATGACATACTGAAAACTTGGATCCATGCTTACAATAAGCTTAGATATTTAAGCCAAATTTAACCCCAAATCATAGTTTTCGGTTGAATCAATTATTTGATCCTTAGTTAAGTGTGAATAGTATATCAACAGAATAGAGATAAGAAATCCTGGATAATCAATTCTATGAGAAATTGCCCAAAAATGTCTTTGGCTGCACTTTTAATAACTTTTGATGTTAATACAGACAAACGCTGTTGTGTCAAAGTTGAAGGAACCTACATTAATACTTCGACTTATTCAGGGTTCAGCACATTGAATAATAATGAATGAAGAAAGCGTACAAAAGGACCAAGCTTTTACTTCAAAGTATCTGTACGCTTGACACATCATAGTTTGACACAACAGTGTTTGACTATATTTTGGCATTTATGGTTGGTTGGTTGGTTGGGTTTATGCCACACAATATTCCAGTCTGTAAATAATCGAGCCTGGGCAGGACAAACCAGTGATCAACAGCATGAGCATCAATCAGTGCATTTGGGATACGATGACATGTGTTGACCAAGTCCACGGGCCTGTCCACCAGATCCCATTAGTCGCCTTTTACGACAAGCATGGGTTGCTGAAAATCAATTCTAACCCGGATCTTCACAGGTTTTTGGCAATTATGAGCTGAGCTTATCAGACAGAAGGAAACTCAGCCGTAAACTAATGGCTATTCACGTGACTGATCTGTTTTTAAGGTTTCATTGTTTTTTCATGTCCTCGTTGACAAAGCTTTTTATGGCTAGATCATTATTTAGTGGAAGTATTCCTGCTTTTGAGTATAGCAGTCATTTGGCACAATAATTTTAAATCAAATGTTTGATACCTTTTTAAAAAATGTATCAATGTACAAGCATTATGTTACTGTCTTTTTTCAAAAAAAAATTCCCCCTCATAAGATTTGATGACAGCCGTTATTATGGGAATAACATTGTGGCTGTACCTTTGATCTGTAGGCATGTATGACAGCATTGAATTTACAGTTTGTACACTGTGATTTAAAAACAACTTTAAAAAATGTGTTCAGAACAGGAATGATTGCAGAGATGAAATGCACGCAATATTTGTATGTGCACAGAAATTCAGCATTCTTATATACCATATTATGTTGTCTTTACTCTGACAGGTTTAGTTGTTTTGTTTTAGTATGTATTATATAAAAGTTTATTTGTATTTCTTTTCATTTTGGCACAGATTTACTTCACTGCTTTATGCACAGTTATGTCCCTTGATTCATAGTTATCTTTCTTGATTTAGAGTTATCTCCCTTATGTGAACTCTGTTTGGCTGGATATAATGACTTAATATCACAGTTATGTCCCTTTGATTCATAGTTACCTTTCTTGATTTAGAGTTATCTCCCTTATGTGAACTCTGTTTGGCTGGATATAATGACTTAATATCACAGTTATGTCCCTTGATTCATAGTTACCTTTCTTGATTTAGAGTTATCTCCCTTATGTGAACTCTGTTTGGATATAATGACTTAATATCACAGTTATGTCCCTTGATTCATAGTTATCTTTCTTGATTTAGAGTTATCTCCCTTATGTGAACTCTGTTTGGCTGGATATAATGACTAGTTTGTCCTGAGAAAGGCTTTATCTTGTTTGTACTGCTGATTAAGATCCCGATATACTTGTGTGATTTAGAGGCCAGAGATTGAATCTCTTTTTATTTCTCAAGCTGCCATTACTTTTGTAAATAAAAATCATAATGTGCTAATTTCATATAAATATGTAAAAGCTATGTTTCATGTTTGCATTAAAAGCAGGCTGCAGGAGAATCAGACAAGTTTACAAATAGTGAAGTATGTATAAAAATCTTTTTGAACATCTCTCATAATGTCCTAAAAATCGAAACAAAATGAACTTCGGTGGTTGTTATTCGCCATGTGTTTGCGCAAATGTCAGTAAAAATTCCAAACTGGTAATCCTTATTTTCCCCGGAGTTTATGTTACCATAGTTACCGGTGTAACAATGTGATGGCTTGTGCATAACTAGTTGAGGAAGAGGCTTTCATGCTTAGTTACTCATTATGCCATCGGAGGGATTGTTAAGATACAATGTTAAACTTGTTTTCAATTACAGGGAAATAACTTTGAAAATATCTGAACAAAATATTTATAAGATCACAATTTATCTGCCAAAGGTACTTATTTTTTAAAGTCTTTTTGTTGACAGTCAGAACTTTTCTAGCCATAATGAGAACATATTTATCATCCAAGATCAGATGTCTGCAAGATTTCGTGATGTATTGACCAGACGGTAATTCTTAAAAAGGGATGTTTATTGAATGGAATAGAGCTGTGACGATATATCGTAGTATCGATAATTGTGATACTTTATCTGACGATAAATATATCGATACGTTTTTTCGTATCATGATATGTATCATTGACCTTAAAATTGTTAATTTTCATTAGATATTGACGGTTATGTCAAAATTTCTTGCTATTAAAATATGATTTTTTTAAAGAAAATAACTAAAGAAAGCATATCGTGATATGCATCGAATCGTATCGTTCCAAGATATCGCGATAAGTATCGTATCGTGAAATTTCTGTATCATCACACCTCTAGAATGGAACATAGCAAAGGGGTTCACTACGTGTTGATTACATTAAAAATGCTTTCATTATGATTATCTGTTTGGTGTTTTACATGTTTCAGAACCATGTCTTGCCACAAGTTTGTTCTTCCTGCGTTAAGTCAACTTCAACTTGACTTGTTTGACATTTCGTTGAGCACGTTGTGTCTCTTTCATTGAAACTGTTTTAGCACAAAAATATTGTTTATTTTATTGCATGTGATTTGTTATTTGGAATTTAGATACAAGGCAGTTATTATATGGAACCAAGATTCAAAATATGCCTTATCTAATTTTACTGTTAAGATGTTCAGTCTTGTGAATGCTTCGGGTTGCTGAACATATGTTAAATCAGTGTTACTGGGTTTGTTCAAACATTGGCTTAAGACGTATCCATAGAGAAACAGGTGCTTTATCAGTGTATGAAATAAGCCCAAAACCCAGCCAGACCAGGCAATCCAAAGAAGTAGATTTTAAGATATGGTGAATTTACTTTGATGTATGTAACATGTTATCTAAAACATTTACCAGACCATTGGGCTGGCCAGCTGTAAATTTAGACCAGAAATCTATCCCGTCTTGGGTGGTGTAGCAGGTCTTATTTCATACACTGGCTTTATCCTGTGTTTTCATGATTTCCTTAGTTCTGTACCATCCTCTATGATGCAGGGAATGTCATCGCAAGTAAAATACATTCTTCACATTTTACAAAACATTCTTACAATTTATCACAGATAATTTAAGATTTAAAAAAAATTGACTTGACAGCAGAGCTTCCATTTTTATGGTGTATCCATAGTGATTTTAAATGTATTTCTGTCAGGAGGGTTGAAAAGGAATTTTGAAAACTCTACATTTGGGACCGTTCATAATTTATGGCTAGGGGGGTGGATGATGACTTTTATGGAGAAGCATGTACAATGTGAATGGATGGAACCCCAATGGATAGTTTAACAGGCAAAAAGAAAATTGTTTAATCATTTGTGATCAAAATGAAAAAATCATTTCATTCCCCTACTCCTAATATCACATGGTTTGGTCCCTGAGAGTCTTTGTAATGAATTTCGGGGGGAGGTGGGGTAGCCTTGTGGTTAAAGTGTTCGCCCATCACGCCGAAGACCCGGGTTCGATTCCCCACATGGGTACAATGTGTTTAGCCCATTTCTGGTGTCCCCTGACGTGATATAGCTGGAATATTGCTAAAAGCAGCGTAAAACTAAAAACTCACTCACTCACGTAATGAATTTCTGGAGATATTTTTGTTTATTGTTTGTTTCATGACAAGATGGCTGTCAGATTGATACTGTGCCTTCATGTACCTTGTTATGTAAGATTTAAATTTCTAATTTCAATAAATTTTCTATATTTTTGGAAATGAGAACCTTTAAGCATGGCGCTTGTTCTTCCGGTCTTCTAATGTGAAGGTGCTGCTGAATCGGGTTTTAAATCTAATTTCTCATAAATGGTTGTACAATTCACATGGTTGATTTAAAAATATGTTTGCTTCTTGTGTCAGAATACCTGCAGGAGTTAATTGTGTTAATACCAGAGATCACTTATCTAAGTCTGGCATGATTTTGAAAAATGAAACTCAGAATTTTTCAAATTCTGCTTTTATTTTGGCCATGATAACTGCAACAGCATTTGTTACTCCTCATGGTTCTTTCAAATGTCCATTTTCACACATTCATAGGGCTGAGCATCCTCGATAATCTGCAGGATATACATTACAATCACTCTCCACTATACCCTGGATGCATCCACGGCTTGGCCCGATAATTATGTTACCTCCCTTTGCTGGCTCCGCATCCTCACAGTAGCCAATCAGCTAAGCCGCCGTTACATCTGAGCCTGCCAGTGTCAACAAAGATAGCGGTCGCAGTTGCGAAGGTTTGTTCGCAGTGCCACTCGATTTTTGGGGAAATCATACAGACAAATTGACAGATCTGAAACTTTAAATAAAATATATGAAAGAATTCCTTCTACGTCTTCAGAGTACCTCTGCATCAATTGTGTTGCCAAGTTTAACGGTTAGATAATTTAAGAAGCGAAAGTGAGTTGTGATTGGTTCGCTCAACTTCCCAGCGTAAACACCTGATTGGATAAAAGCCCGCAAAGGGAGGTAATAAAATCATCGCCCCAAGCCGTGGATGCATCCAGGGTATAGTGGAGAGTGATCGTAACGTATACCCTGGAGATTATCGAGGATGAGGGCTGAGGTTCTATGCAAAAACTTTACTCTATGCAAATCACTTGTTAACTTAACAGTAAAAACAGCTTGTACGTTCCTATTCTATTTTTTGTAACTAACTCCAGTATTTGACAGTGTTTCACTTTTTCACAAACATATTTTTATAAACCTAGATTGAATAAACAGATAAACCTGAACTGTTGAAATTTGAGGAAATCTCCACGCCGAAGACCCAGGTTCGATTCCCCACATGGGTACAATGTCTAGAGCCCATTTCTGGTGTCCCCTGCTGCGATATTGCTGGAAAAATTAAAAAAGTGGCGTAGAACTGAATTCACTCACTCACTTGGAAGAAATCTAACCTTTCATAGATGGAGTAGAACCAGTATTTGAAAACAGTCTTCCTCTGTGCGTACGATATTAATCAACCCAGTGATATAAAAATTGTGGAAATATATATTAATATATCAGAAATTTACAACTTGCTTCCTGTATTTCCCCTTGGAGTAGAGGTGTTCTGATTAATTGAAATAATCGAAGATTGGTCGCAGTGACCAAATGACCACGCAATCGATCACATTTTCTCATAATCGAACATAAACGATTTTGGAACTACTGTTTTAGTCTTTGAAATACTTGACAATGGAACATATCTTAGAAGTTGTCAGGGCCTGAAAACGTGTTTATTCTTAGAAAACTCACTTCACTAATTGAAAAGTCATGACTGAATAATTCTGTAAGACTCCAGGAGTTTATGTTCATGATATATTAGTCATTACTTTAAAGTAGCAAGTTGCATTATCTTATACCTATATGCAGTAACAACCTGGATAGAACAATCTGAAAAAATCAGTTCACCTGATGAATGGACCTGGAATGGTCTCAAATCGTGAGGGAAATTATAAAGAAGTTTAATCCATAAAAATATCTTCGAAATCTGAAAAATGACACTAACCAGTTTTTTTCGATGATTGTTCGTTGGTAATGAAGCAATCATCAGTTGTGAGATTTCAACCAATTCCCAACACTACCTTGGAGCCTTAAATGTAGTCCTGAAACTAAAAGATTAAGAGAGAAGGTCGACTGAACTGATGTTGATTTGATGGAAGGTACAGGTCAGGGGGTAATGGTGTTAAGTGAACAGGGTCTTCAGGAGAAATGAGTCGAATCTGTGACATTATAATTTTACCCATCATTGAAGGAATTGTGAAACTGTGCTCAGGTTGCGCGCACAAGGAATCTCTTAGTAACTTTTTACGTGTATATACAGCTTGTGCCATAAATTGTATTGCTATTGATAATTTTACCTCTCGAATTTTCAAGAAGATCCAAATTAAGATTACCATGACTAAAATGGAATTGATGACATGTCTAAACAAATTCATCATGGCAGTTTGAAGTTCAATAGAAATGATTCTTTTGTGACATATTTGGTGGAAAACTGTAACTTCTATGTTTCTGCTGAGGTTGACAAAATTTCAAATTGTGTAATGATTATATTGTATTTTTCACTCAAAACATGACACAGTGAAAATGGTTGTATTACTTTAGGAATGTATGACCTATAACAGGAACTATTGCCTTGATGTTTTTTTTTTTTTCGTTGACTCCAATGTATTGATAATGTGTTGATAATGTGTTGATAATGTGTTGATAATGTGTTGATAATGTGTTGATAATGTGTGTTGATCATTGCCAACATGCTGAAGTTCAATGAACTGTGCTGATCCATCGTCCCAGGGATGATCCTTGGATTGCCTCTAATTACACCCCTGGGTGGGGAGGATGAGTCTAAAAGTGTACATTATTATTTATCACTATGTATTCAGACTGGTGCCTTCTAGCTTTCCATAGAATATTTTTCTTTTCTGTCTTGTCTATTGAATTTTAAGATATTTACATATAGTTCATAGGATCTAGTTGATCTAGGTTTCCTAAAATGTATAGTTTTTGTACAGTATCAAAGTGCTTTTTCTAGAACTTTTTAACACAAATATCAAAAGTTGACTTGTATACTAGTATCTTTGTCTATTACAGGATTATGTTAAAGGGAGACAATATTTCACAGTCTGTTACCCATGTCGTTCTTGGTCTAGATATTGTAGAGTTTTATTCAGATTTTCGCAAATAAAATACCTCTGTTCATGAAGAACGGGGTATTCCTTCAGAAGAGGTGCCATCAAGTGATATATGCAGTCTAAGTAAACTTAGGCTCAGTATTATTCGTTACACTGCTATACTGAGTCTCGCGTTTGATTGGACTGTCATAGGTCACTCAAAGGTTAGCTGATGCGACCGTGTATGAGGTTTTGTAAAGCAGTGTAACGAATAATACTGAGCCTAGGTTTACTTAGACTGCATATATCACTTGATGGCACGGGGCATTCCTTCATAAGATGTGGCATCAAGTGATATATGTAATCAGCCAGTCAGAGTTACGACATTTAAATTCCCTTCACAGCTGAATCATTCAGACAAGAATGTCTCATAACCATGGCAACAACAGCATAACCTTCATAAAACTTTCATATTTTAGATATTATATTCTCTTTTATATTCAAGATACAAACATTGTATGTACACCATTCACTAAACATGATGCTTCTGCAATTTTCCTGTAACCATGGTAACAGGTCACCCAATATTATTTTATCCCCAGTTTATGTTCAAATATTCTGCCATGTCAGTACTTTACAGTGATTATTGATGATGAAATTATTACCATCCAGCATCCTTGGGTGCCGTCTGTGCCCTTTTGGTCTGTGGTAGGAGATGGCTTCATTCTGTGTACAGACAGCCATTGTGTGTCTGTGCACAGTAAGGGGAGATAACTCTAGCCACATTCAGATGGTGGGGAGATAACTCTAGCCACATTCATATGGTGGGGAGATAACTCTAGCCACATTCAGATGGTGGGGAGATAACTCTAGCCACATTCAGATGGTGGGGCAGCCTTATGGTTTAAAGTATTTTCTTGTCACCAAAGACATGGTTTCAATTCCACTTATGGCTACAACGTGTTGAGCCTGCTGAAGTGTGCCTGTCATGATGGTTTGGGAATATTGCTGAGACATATGTGAAAACATATTCTCTCTTGCCATTTCTTGACATGTCTTTTTTTAAATATTATTTTTCCACTAAACTGAATTTTTGGTAAAAATGTGAAAAAAACACAAACAAGAAAAAGCCTTTCAGAGATATTACTTGTGCTGTTAGTCGTTAAGGAAGTATTTTTAATGCAAATTAGCTAGTGCCTTTAAGATGCTTCTTGAGAGATATGAATCTATAAATACATCTGTTAAATAAATGTTCATTACATGATGCCAGTACTCACAGGTACGATTTATCCCCAGTGTTTATCATTCAGCATTTCTGTTACTTTATCCGTTGATAAATGGCAGTGTGTACAGGTGATTCCAGTTACTTCAGGGTCATATTTACTGAATAGATCGGACTGACATAGCCAGGACTCTGTCCCACAAAGTGATCTTAGCACTATGCAAGTCTCTGTTTAGGTTTGGGAGTTACGATCATCTTAATGTTAATTAAGGTATGAGACTTAGTTACTAGTATGTGACTGTCTTAAGTCTGTGTTAAAGTATGGGAGTTACGATCATCTTTAAGTGATACTTGTTAAGGTATGGGAGTTAAGATCATCTTTAAGTGATACTTGTTAAGGTATGGGAGTTACAATCATCTTTACGTGATACGTGTTAAGGTATGGGAGTTACAATCATCTTTAAGTGATACTTGTTAAGGTATGGGAGTTAAGATCATCTTTAAGTGATACTTGTTATGGTATGGGAGTTAAGATCATCTTTAAGTGATACGTGTTAAGGTATGGGAGTTACAATCATCTTTACGTGATACTTGTTAAGGTGTGGGAGATACGATCATCTCTAAGTGATACTTGTTAAGGTATGGGAGTTACGGTCATCTTTAAGTGATACTTGTTAAAGTATGGGAGTTAAGATCATCTTTAAGTGATACTTGTTAAGGTATGGGAGTTACGATCATCTTTAAGTGATACTTGTTAAGGTATGGGAGTTACGATCATATTTAAGCGATACTTGTTAAGGTATGGGAGTTACGATCATCTTTTAGTGATACTTGCTATGGTGTGGGTGTTAAATCTTCTTAGTCATACAACATTTTTTGAAGTTTTGGAGTTACGATCATGTCAGTGATACAACTCGTGTTATGGTATGGGTGTTATGACCATCTTAGTGATATGACATTCGTATGTCTGTGTTAAGGTATGGGAGTTATAATCATGTTAGTGATACAACTTTTGTTAAGGTAGGGGAGATATGTTCATCTTCGTGATATGACTCTTGTAGAGGTATAGGAGTGACTATCATCTTAGTGTTACTACTCTTGTATGTCTGTGTAAGGTATGGAAGTTACGATCATCTAAGTGATACTACTCTTGTTCAATTATGGGAGTTATGACCATCTTAGTGCTATTATTCTTGTGTGTCTGCGTTAAGGTGTGGGAGTTACGCTAATATTAGTAGTACTACTCTTGTTAAGGTATGGGAGTTACGACCATATTAGTGTTACTACTCTTGTGTGTATGTGTTAAAGTATGGGAGTTCTGGTCATCTTAGTGATACGACTCTTGTTAAGTCTGTGTGAAGGTGTGGGAGTTACGCTCATCTTAGTAGTACTACCTTGTTAAGGTATGGGAGCGGTGGGGACCCTAGTGGTTAGCCTTGTGTCTGTGATTAAAGTGTGGAGTCCCACATGATCACCGTAGTGTTACTGGTGTACTCTTGTGATATTGTGGAATGTGTTAAAAGTGTGGGAAAACCAAACTCAGTAGTCAGTCAGTTAAGGTATGGGAGTTCTGACCATTTTAGTGTTACTACTCTTGTGTGCATGTGTTAAGGTATGGGAGTTACTGTCACCTTAGTGATACAACTCTTGTTAAATCTGTGTTAAGGTATGGGAGTTACGATCATCTTACTGATGTGACCCTTTTAAGATATGGGAGTTAATATCATCTTAGCACTGTGACAGTCTTAAGTCTGTGTTAAGAATGGGAGTTATGATCATCTCTGGTAAATCACTCTTAGTCAGGTACAGGAGTTAATATCATCTTAGCACTGTGACTGTCTGAAGTTCATATTAAGTCCTGGAAGTTATAAATGTAGTAGTCCTACAACTATCCTAAATCTCTTAGTGTCTTAGCGCTAAGATCACTTAGTGGGAGAGCTCCAATTTTATTACAACCTGCATGTATCATGATGAATGTGTGATTTTATCACCTGCACATAAACTGGCAAAAGAAACCGAGATCATTCTCATTTATTCGTAAATATAAATTATTATAATTATACCATGTTAACTGTAGCCATGCAGAATGATCACTGTTCTGTGTACACAAGATACTTAGGAATTGGCAATGTAATATTTGGATTGTTATGAAAAGATTTACAAGTGTTTAGTTTTTGGTGAAGCTATTTCTTTTTGAAAACACATTTTTTAGGACATTCAACAAGTGCAGAAAACAATTTGTCAAATATTTTAGTAAATATATTATAAACAAACGGTTTTGTTTCACATTAATGTAAGTACACAAAAATAGCTTGGCAGAATGTGTAGTTAAATTTAGAAAATATTCAAATTTATTAATTTAATTCAATTTAATTTGAGTTTAGATGACGGTCAATATCTTATTATTAATTACATCTTGCCCTGCTGAAAAATGTATGATCACCGTTCAGGATTCTAGACTTTGTGTTATGAGGTCTAGAATCACACTACGATAAATAGCATGATCTTGGATCCTTTTGCTTCTGAATCTTCATTGTGTTGGTGGGGTGGCCTAGTGGTTAAAGCGTTCGCTCGTCACGCCGAAGACCCGGGTTCGATTCCCCACATGGGTACAATGTGTGAAGCCCATTTCTGGTGTCCCCCGCTGTGATATTGCTGGTATTACTAAAAGCGGCGTAAAACCAAACTCACTCACTCACTCATTGTGTTGGTGAAACTGAAGGGGTGACGATGATGACCAATATTCTGTAACACCGAGTATGTACATTCATACTCTCACAGCATTTCCACTCGTTCCATGATTTATTATACAAGTGTTATTTATTGTGACCCCAGTGCATTGTGTAGTACCTGTCTCGCTTGGGATGGGGGCGGGTTTTGGGGGCAAGGGTTCCATGTCATCTAATGCTCTACAGTTCTTCAGAGTTGTGTCCCTTTGATGTGACAGAATCCTATGATGTTTGGTTTGAGTTAAGGTCTGGCTGGGGGTGGGGCGGGTTTTGAGGGCAAGGGTTCCATGTCATCTAATGAGGGCAGAGTTGTGTCCCTTTGATGTCATCTAATGATGTTTGGTTTGAGTTAAGGTCTGGCTGGGGGTGGGGCGGGTTTTGAGGGCAAGGGTTCCATGTCATCTAATGCTCCACAGTCCTGAAGAGTTATCACTTTTGCGTGCCAGAATCCCATGATGTTTGGTTGAGTTGAGGTCTGGCCTGGTTTGTCTGCAGTGTAGCCATGGGTTTAAAAATAGTGGTAAATGTCAAAGATCTGCATCACCTTGGGGCTTCCTTCCAGATAAAACTTGACATGATATAAATGACGTAATATGTACAGCAGCCATTATGGTTCTGGGACAGTGGGGTAGCCTGGTGGTTAAAGCGTTTGTTTGTCATGCCAAGGAACTGGGTTTGATTGTTGTCATGGTTACAATGTGTGAAGGCCTTGTCTGGTGTCCCCTGCTGTGATATTGCAGAAATATTGCTGAAATGGGCGTAAACTAAACTCACTAAATAGGATCTGGCCAGTCATTGATAATATTCAGGACATACAGGTAACCCATGAACACATCGCCATAGAAACGCTGTTTAATATTGAGTTTCCCATTGAGAAGAGATTTACTCTGCGGATATTTTTCAATATTTTCATAAGGTATACATAGTTGACCCATGGATTTAAACTGTCAACTTCCTTCAATAAGCTATATCTAGGTAGAAAGCGTCGGTACCAACATTCACGGGTGGTGGAGTAGTTAAGTGGTCAAAGTGTTCACCTGTCACGCCAACAACCTGGGTTCACTTCTCCACATGGGTACAATGTAAAGCCGATTTGTGACTGTGGTATTGCTGGAATAGTGCTGAATGCACAGTGAAACCATATTCACTCGCCCAACAAAACTTTACAAAATTATAAAATAATGAAGTTTAAATTAACGGGTTAACTCTGTCTTCCTGGATAATACAGCTTCTATATGATATTAAAAAAAATATTTTTCTACTTGTTTACAATCAAGTAACTGTATAGACACTGTGTCCGGTTCATTCCAACTGGAGCCACCATGTGGCTGGGATGGATGGAAGAGTCCATTGTCTGCCTTACCCATGACTTTTATATGATCTATATTTTGTCTTGTCTGTTCATCAGCTTGAAGAGTCCATTGTTTGCCTGGCCCAAGAATTTTAAGATGCTATATTTTGTCTTGGCTGTTCATCAGACGGAAGAGTCCATTGTCTGCCTGGCCCATGACTTTTTAAGATGCCATATTTTGTCGTGTGTGCTGTTACCCATCTGTTGAGCGAGTTGTTGTATATTGATGTTGGGAGAGAGGTTTCTGAGTGCTTCACACAGTTTTATCATTGTCAGAATACAATCACTGCTTTTTTAATCTCTGGTCTATCAAGAGTTTTGGGAACCTGCTCCACAAAATAATCACTACATTCTGACTTCAGTTACCATGGTGACATGAAGTAACATCAACTGAAAACATGGCAGCAAGAGGTAAGACCTTGGCTGACCATGGTAACACTAAGTTAAGTCCTCTGTAACCATGGTAACACATGTTCATGCCAGCCATCAGCTGTATCGTTAAGAGTTGTGTTACCATGGTGACATTTAAGTTTCATTGTTAATCGTCATGTAAATGCAAATTTATGTGCCATGGTACAAGGTAAACTTGGTGTAACCTCGATAACATTAAGTTAGGTTGTCTGTAACCATGGTAACGGAAATTTACACTATAACACAAGGTTTTAAAAGTCGCTTTGTGGAGTAGATTCTTGAAATGCTCCTTTCTATGCAAGTTCTTGTTAACGTTTTTACATCATGGCATGCAATTCTGCGAAGAATTCAATTATTACTGAGTGTCATGTATCACCTGTACAAGATCGTCACTATATGGCTGAAATATTGCCGATGTGACGTTAAATATTAACTCACTCACTCACCTGTACAAGAACTGATAACTGATTTTTACTTGTCGTTTTACTCACAGGATCATTTGTTAAATGAAGTTAGGGGAATTGGTAATTCCTGGAAGGATTTCAAGACTTTTGGTTATCCTTTGCATTTCATGCTTTTACTCAGCGGCAGTTTAAATCGGAAGTATTTCGATTAGATGTTCATGAGGGCCTGACAGCTATGACCAGGAAATGTTCAACAAAGCGATTTTAGTACTAAGGCGATCGGGAGTTAAGATGGACTTAGTGCTGAGGTTGCTTTGTGGATAGATTGATTGTCTTTGCAGTGTTAGCATGAAGTTACCCTGAAGGTCAAGAGGTCATTTCCCTTTTGTTAAAGAGTAGGGTATTTAGGTGCTCCCGTATTCAAATCCTATTGCAGCAAACTGCGAACATGATCCCACTGAGTTTGCTTAAAATAAATTATATCGATATTTTCTTTTTATCAAATATTGTAATCAATGCTCATAACGTCGACCACTGATTTGTTTGTTGGTCCCGTAACCATTATAGTGCTGGGTGTATTTGTACTATTGTTGACTCGATCAACACATTCAGCGGTGCAGTGTTTGCTTGCAGCACAAGTGGTCTGAGTTTGAATCTCAAGGCGGGCTGATGGGGAAGCTGCTCATGGTTTTGCTCTGCCAATTTGTTCACTCACTGATTAACTAAACTCTTTTCATATGTGACAGATGTTGGTTTTTAATGGAGTATTTGCCTGTTGTGTTGCACTTGAGACGAGTGTTAGGCAATGTTTGTATCATAGTGTGTACAGGGTTTTCTCAACTGTTGCTTTGTTTCCATGGAAACCACAATTTTCATGTTCCTGTGATCTGAATCTGCCTTGACAATAAATGTGATCTTTTCACCTGAGTCTTAGTCTTGTTTCTGGTTCCCATTGTCTTGAAATGTTATATAAGATGGGGATACATTGAGGATAAGTTGATCAAAATGGCTCCAATATGCATGCTACCATGGTGACAAGGGCAGACAACTCCTGCGACCCTGCTGAACCTGGGGTGCTAACTTTCAGCCACTTACAATCACACCAATTGCTGACTGAAGTCAATTCGATCTCAAACCAACATGGTGGCTTAGGGAAATTTGATTTCGACAGCTGAACAAGAAAGTTTTCATCAGCTGGGAAACCGGGCAAACACAGCTGTCATCCCAGCATCCACAGTTTGTTCCACATCTTCAATGTATAGTCATCAGCGAGACTGTTCCGTTACATTCTTCATTTATACAAGACGAGCAAATGGTTATTGCTCTGCCATTTTTGATGAGTGGACAAGCACTTCAAGCAGTTGCAAGCCTGGGATAATCAAATTATTTGCTTACTCTAAGCGATTCACGGCATGCTATGCACCCGTTAAATTACGCATGACCCAATACTCTCACCATTGATCTCTGCTTGTTCTCGATCTACAAGGTTTAATCCACGAAGACTTCCTCCTGTGAATTTCCCGGATACATTGTTGGGCTCCAGCGTGGTCGTATATTCATCAGTTTGCCTGTCCAGCTTACACAAACACAGAACATTTAATAGGAGAAATAATTTATTCTGACAATCAATCACAGCCATACACACCAGACAGTCAGAAAAATCCGGTTATATATAATCATTCTCTATTTACACTGTGAAACAGTAGCAAAGTCAAACACTCAACATTGTGTCTAATGGCAACAAGTCGAAACTGAAATCTATATCACACATACAAGAATACCATTCCAGTTGTCTCAGGCATTTCAAGTTACAAGTTAGAGTGACAAGTTGACATATCGATTTTAATTTCTTTTTCTTTCGGTGCCATGTTACAGTTCAGATGCTAGTTCTTTGTTCAGGCGTACAAGCAACTATACAAAAACATCTTTTACTTGATGAGTGAGTGAGAGTATGGTTTTACGCCGCTTTTAGCAATATCACAGCAGGGGTACCAGAAATGGTTTTCAACATTGTACCCATGTGGGGAATTGAACCCGAGACTTCAGCGCGCCGAGCGGATGCTTTAACAATTAGGCTACCCACCACCCCTTTACTTGATGGAACGAGTCATTGACAAGTACACGACACCTGTCAGTAGCAGGTATGGGACCCACAAGATGAAATGACATACTGACACCCTAGGATCCATGCTTACAATAAGCTTACATATTTAAACCAAATTAGACCCCATATCATAGTGTTCTGCTGAATCAATGATTTGATCCTTAGCAAAGTGTGAATAGTATATTTGACTGTAATATGATTGCAGGTCATTGTTGAGAGAAACATTGTCAGCATGGTCACAACATGTCACAGCTGATTTGTTTTCGCACCAAAACATAATTTAATTGGTAATAGTACCCACTGAACCTGCTTTCCTTAAAACAAATCACATTGACAAAAACAAACAAACTTTCTGTCCAGATGTCAAGTTTGTCCTTAATAGTACATCTACTATAATTTTCACCTGAAGATATCAAAGGTTTCATCTACAGGTATGGAACATTGTAAAAAATCAAAAACTAAAAAAATACCAGAATTGTTATTGTTATTGTTAGACTGAATATAATGAAAACTACATCCACTGATGACTTGTTACCGTATCGCCGCTGAGTGAATTTGTCGCAGTCGTAACACTCAACTGTCTCTATTAAATGCTGTGTAAATTGTCAGAAACACTACCACTTAGACTTTTCTAATACTCTGAATACATTTTATACTCAGAGTTCATGTATGACTGCCTCCATATTTGATTGGATAAGTTCAGAGCTCCCTTGCATGAGGCTGCCATTTTTAGAATCCATGCTAAATGCCTAAAGAGAGGCATTTTGATTGGTTGTTGATTTGAAGCTCATGAGTGAGAGAAATTTTGTGCTGAGCTGATGATACATCTGAGACGGAGATGTCGCTTCCAAAACATCACTGTGGTGGGGAACAAGTCAGGGTCTATACTACTCAAAGGAAAATAAGCAACAGGTGAACGATGAAGGAGTAAGCTTATATATCACACTATGGTTATAACAGTGAGTGAGTGAGTTTAGTTTTATGCTGCTTTTAGCAATATTCTAGCAATATCACGGCGGCAGACACCAGAAATGGGCTTCACACATTTAACCACATGGGGTCACTGTATATTACCGTCTATAAGCCGACCCCATAGATAAGCCGACCCCCAAACTTGACCCTTAAAATCAGTGTCAAAATGGTATGTTTCATGCATAACAGACCCCTCGTGATGGGGTCCTAATCGCGGCAAACACAGACCACAGACAACTGGCGGTTACCAATAATTATAACTTTGGTCCACATTATTAAAAACATTTACAGTCATATTCTGTCTACTCACGCATCGAAATGAAGTGTAGTTGACAGAAAATGGATAATATATTTTGTTTCGCTAAATATCATACATATTGAAGTTAGACGATAACATGTCAACAAACTGGTAAGTCTTAACTTCAAAATGAGACCCAATAACACAACATTTGCTTCTTCTTCAATGTGACTTTCAATATTCCAGAGTTACGACCGGTCATATTATAAATGCTTTGGTGTACAATATAGATACTTAGGAATAATTTCCTTGATCTATTTACAACCGGTACATGACATACCATCACTTAATAACCTTAACTGAACAGTCAACCTCAGCTATATATTCCAGCCGTATGGTGGCGGCCTTTGAATCACCAAGCCTCGACCAGACAATCCCGTGATCAAAGAGCAAATATCCACACCTTCGAGGGTGATCACTTTATCCATTAAGTCGCCTCATACTAAATAACAATGGCTATTTATAAAATGCCTGTTTTCACACATAAGGTGCTAACACATTATTACCCCGGATAACCCAAGCTGCCTGTGAAGTGCTAGAAGGTTAACAGTCAATTGACCTATCCTACCGGGTACCCATTAACTGCTGGGGGAACAGAGGCAATTTATGAACAAACTCACTTGTCTTGGGTGAGGACACATGTATCACGGGCGCTTCATTAGTATTACTTTCTTTGATCAGGATTCATCACTGGTGATCTATTCCCCCAAGAGGACATTGAACAATAAGTCTGGACCAGATAATCGAGTGATTGATCAGCAAAGTTCATGTTCAAAACCAACTAGCCGATCACCTGATTCATTACATGTTGCCTCCAGTTGTTACTGCTAATAATCAGTGTACATCCCTGGTGATCTATACCAATATTCTAACCATTAAATCCTCCCTCCCCCCTCTCCCTACCAACACACACACACACCTCTCTTTCATGACATCAATTTTCGTGTTCAATGAAGTCTGGATGGTACCAAATCTGTTGTTCTAATCAGGGTTCAGATTTAAGTCACCACATCTTGACCAAAAAAGGATGTAACAATCCTCCATCACTGTGAAAGGAATGATAATCAATCCAGGGGTGGAATCATTTACTGGAACATATTAAAATATTACTCGACCCGTGAAGATCCAGGTCAGACCACAGCTATGACTTAGCATAACATCACTGCCACAGGCTAATTTGCATATCACGTGACCAGACTTTTCTCTTGTTTGTAAACAAACGCGATATTCATAATAAGAAGAGACGACTCAAGAAAGTTTTTCGGCGCTCTCTTCATAATGTTTTACATTGTTACATATATATTCTTCCACAACTGCGACAGTAAGGTCTATGACAGTACATATTAAGATATCAAACTGGCTGCATCGTTTGCTCTCCATCAGCTTCGATGACAGCACATGGAGCCGTACAACCTATGTAAACAGAGGATCGCTACGCAAATCGAAATAGTGTTACATGTTTTAGGATATTTTCTCAGTGAAACTAAGCCATTCTTTTAAAGATGTTTAGTTAGATGTGTAGACTTGTCAAAAATAAAAGAGTAAAAGAAATCTGTACATTATATTGAATGGACATTGCAAGATGTGACGAATCGTCACATTTTTCTGGCCTGTGGCAGAGGTACTATGCTGGCTTGCCGCATGGAACTCTGGGTAGGAGAGTGAGGTTAGACTAGAACTTCCGCAACCTAACAGGATCTGTTGGTCAGACTCGCTGACTTGGTTAACACGTCATCGGATCTCAGTTGCATAGATGCATACTCATGCTGTTGATCACTGGATTGTCTGGTCCAGACTCGATTATTTACAGACTGCCTCCATATAGCTGGAATATTGCTGAGTGCAGCATTTAGTAACAAACAAAACAAACATATAGTACTAGCACCACTGGGGCAATGGAAGTCAGGGAAGGTGGTAGTACGACTGGTAAGGCCTAAAAAAAATTTCGTGGTTCCGATTTCCTGACTGACCCTTGAATTCTGGTGCCGACCCTATTTTTTTTTTATCGGACTGAATAAAATAAGCTTTCAGATACCATTGTTTTTTCCCAGTACCGACAGATATCAGTCATTCTGATAGAGAAAGTTGACATGATGGCCGCAAACTTGATGAATAAACACTTACACATTGATACATGTGTTATTAGTTTGTACTTTCCTTCTAAAAAAATATGTAAAAAAGAAATTCCTACCCTAAATTTTAAAGAGGTGTAATCGGAACCACAACATATTTTTTATTTGTGCGTGATACAATATTTATCGGGCAACTGTGGAGAATTGTACATCATGCAAGTGACACCTTAAACTGGTCTTCACATATTTAACATTCATGGGGAATTAAAATCAGGTATTCAAGGGGATGAGTGAATATATTATATAATTAATAATACTTTTGTGCAAATCCTTCAACAAGATTTCCCTTAGTATCCTTAATGGAAAGTGAGGTTAAGAACCGTGACAAAATGTGCATACTAAACACCCTTGTCTCACTGGGACAGTCAAATCAAATATTTAATTTAACCTTTCGCCCAGAGCAAGAAAATATACTTATTCATGCTTTTCAGCTGATGTTGGTTAAAAAAAAAAATCAAAAAAAAAAAAATCATTTCATCATCAAACATCAAAACAGTTTTTCAACTATTCTCTAACATATCAGCTGTTGTCAATCATTCACCTGTAAAATGTAACAACTGTGTCAAAAAATGCACACAAACAATCCCCTTTTTTTACTTGGACAGTTACATAATAAAAAAATTTAACCTTCGTCAATCTTCGCTGACAAAAATCTCATCACAACTCGTCCTTTGAAAAACAATTGTTTAGTCTGTGAAACTGCAATGTGCAATGATACACCATATGATGGTGAAATACAAAAATCTGTGATTCCTGAGTTACCTCCCTTGGCTATGGTAACCGCCATCTCAAACTCACTTGGCGTTATATTGAACTGAAGCTGATGCAAATTTCTTGGCTACAAGATTTCTGAATTTCACATTCTGATGGAAAACCGCAAACCCAAATCAAAATCTGACTACTATTGAAAATAATTTGATTGTGTAACCGGGAGGAAACCAGTGTAAAAACAAACACGAAAGTCAAGGGGTCCTATCACAGACTGACCAATCCTTATGTTCAATTAGCATAGGACATAACCTCCGTAATTCCAACACTGGTAAACACATCCTCTATATCTCCAGTCTCCGGTTTCTCTAAACAAACTTAGGTCTGAATCCATACTTCAGTTTGTTTCGAGAAACCTGAGTCAGGGCTCGCATTTCGGTAAACCAGCACTAACCCCTGGATCTATTTCGGTGGACTTTGCTATCGCAAATTACCTGCCTTTGATTTTCATTGCCATTTTACGGACCAATCAAACGTCGACATCAGGGAAAGGGAAGAGTAATGGAGGAAAGTCATATTACACAGAAATCAGGCCACCGCAAGTATTAATGGTCAAGAAAATAATCTTTTCATCAAAAAGATTCTTAGGGCTTTCTTTTAGTATTCTTCAGCAGGGGTTTACCTCAACTCACAACAAGGGGCCACAAGGACCCTTAATTATTCATTTTAAGGGTCCTCTCAGACACTATAAGTGAGTGAATGGGTGAGAGTGAATTAGCTTTATACTGCTTTTAGCAATATTCCTGCAATATCACGGCAGGGGACACCAGAAAAGGGCTTCACACATTGTACCCATGTGGGGCATCGAACCCGGGTCATCGGCGTGACGAGCGAACACCATAACCACTAGGCTACCCCACCGCCCCGCGGGCAATATGAGAATCCTGTGAAGTAACAGTGTAGAGAACTGTATGTTTTGATAATTTCTTTAGAGCCGAGAATGAATCATTGATCATGTGGACTGATGGATGAAATGATGCACGTACATGCTGTGACAGAAACAACCAAACACTTAGACTGACTGACTGTTTGGTTTGACGCCGGTTTTAGCAATATTCCAGCAACATCACGGGGGGACACCAGAAAAATTGTACCCATGTGGGGAGATGTGTTGATCGAGGCTTTGACCACTAGGCTACCCCACCGCCCCAAACACTTAGAAAAGTCATAGATGTGTTGTGGGTACAATTAATAATACTGTGCGTCCCTGTGGACACAGTGAATGACTTTTTGTGTCTATTCTCTAATAGGCGCACATTTGCCCTGGGCATAAAACCTTGAATCAGTTTTTAAACATTGAGTTTATCGCACAGTCAATCGGTAAGACTGGCCACCATGTTCCTCATAGCCAGCCTAACGTGCTGGTTGGGATGTTTTTTCGAGTAACATAGAAAATCAATTTGGCGAATGAAAATATAGGGCGGTTAACAATGGTTATTCACATATTGTGAGAACCATGGATATTCAGCCTGGGGTTAGAGTTTACCAATCTGCAAGCCATGGAGATATATGATTATTAATCTATTTATTATGAAAATAATAACGATTATGATTCAACATACTGCCTCCTGTAAGACCATGATTCTTCAATGGCCGATGGTTTGTTGCAGATGTAGGGAAGTGAAAACATAGAAGCATCTGTTGTCTGTCCATGACAGACACACTCCTGCTACAATGGCATATTCAAATATACAATCAAGAAAACAACCGCATTGGTCAAACCATATAAATAGTTACTGAATATTCAACTGCTGTAATAAAACAAACCTTAAACGAAAACCGGTAGACTAAAAATAACCTTCAATCAAAATTTTAACAGAAATAAACAATTCCAGAGACCGTATTGAAAGTTGACCTGTAAAATGGAAGACAGATAATATAACTGGGACTGGCAGTTATGTGATGAAAGTGTGTGAGAAAGAATTGTGGCATGAGGTGAAAAATTAATGATTAAGGAGTTCCCAAGAACATCAAGAACCCCATCCTACCCCCTCCCAGCCATTTCCAACACTGTCCAAACTACCGTAACATAATGAACTACGTATATCATTATATATGTCAGGGATAGAAATACTGTTTTTTCTAAGTGTGCCTTAGGGTACCAGACAAATATTTTAGATGTGCCTTTCAGAAATTGAGTATGCCCACATGTTTTTAGAATAAATGACAATGATGATGATCATTTGAAATTTATTGTTAAATAAAGAAATGGGTTAATGAGCATTCAAATATGTATGGTGTTATTCAATTTGGAGAAAAATAATTGTTTTGGGGATTAAATGACTAAATGTGAGTTATGTCTCTGAAAAATCAGGCGTGTCAAAAGGGCACCGAGAACATTTTTTAGCCGTGCCATTTCAATATTTAACGTGCCATGGCACACTAATATATGGGGTATTTCGAACCCTGTATGTGTATGTATGAGTAAACCAGGAATTTACTGGATGCCAATTATCATGTTCAAAAAGCGAAAATACAACTGTTTGGTTTGTTGAAACTTGTAACACATGTTATATTCTTGTGCTGATATACTGTACAAACAGTGCAAAAGAAAAGAGATGGAAGAAATCCCTCAGAGTAATATTTAGAGGTGGATTTTTAACTGAGACTCCCTACCTGAGAATCTAACTCTATCCCTTCATGAATTCAATTTGTTATCTGCTATGTCTAGAATCAAATATTAATAAGCCAGGTTACACTCACTGCAGGTACTGAAAAAAACCCCTGAAATCACACTGATTAACGACCCAATATTCGTGATATGTATCATATTTGCCTCATACTGGATTTGTTGGAGCACTACATAGTATCATGTCAACACAGGCAGAACTTTCAACACAGTCTCAAAAACAACTCACATACAAACTGTTCCGTTATCACACATATCAACCAGTGATCTTCATAAAAAATATCCATTTTACAAATTTTCTAAAAGAGGTATTTGCCTACAGGAAGCTGTTGTCACCAGCGGACCTGCTGCTTGTATTCGTCCAGAAGGCTCCAGCGTTTGATGGTCTCGTAACCGAGAATGATGAAGAAGGAGAACATCACAGACTGCACCAGACGAGCCGTCAAACCCTTCGTGACGATCCAGAAACGTTCCTCTTGCCACAATATTTTCACAGTGTCCGAGAAACTGGTCCCATCAACCTGCGTGGATGATTGAAAAGCATGGATTGAGTTTGTTTGTTTGTTTGCCACACCAGGGGTTAAAAAATCCCATTGCCTGATGCCCGGGACAAGTCAGTTTTCATTTCGGGCAATCAAATAATGGTATCTTACTTGTCCGTGGGCTACCAGATCATTTCTGCTTACGGTTTCAAACTGCAAATAAACTTGGATATATCTGCTCAAAATGCTATTAAAATTTGACACGATACGAGAACGAAAAGAAGTAACTTTCGCAATGATAATAAACTAGAGTTATCTTTCTTTACCATTTATATCACTCCTCGATAACTAGTCCAGTAAACAATAACATCAAATACCATTTTGATTCATAATTAGATCATCATGATTATGTCATAAAAATCAGGGCAAGTGGAAAATTAGTCAGGACAAGTTACTTTCATAAAAGTGTCTTTTTCAGGGCTCCAGATAATTTTTCATGATCAGGAGTACGTACTACTTATTTTTCAATATAGGAGTACTGGAAAACAATAAGAGTACTGAATGGAATTTAATGGAGTATCAGTAATCTTGTGTTTCGTTTCATATATGCACCACAACATTGCTACTCTTGTGTAAACAGGTCAGTACGTAATAAAACAATACCTTTTTCAGATAAATCGTCTGTAACGATTCTAAGACCTGCACACCATTGCTGTGATCTAGAGTTATTTTCTAAATTATTTCCTACCGTAACTCGGCTTATTTTATATCCGTACATACCGCCAATTTGCCCTTATCTGGAGCCCTGCTTTTAACACATTTTTGAACCCCTGACACTGACAAATATTTCAGCTATTTGACAGTTGTAATCGAGTCTGTCTGTCACAATCCAGTGACTGACACAGTGAACAGATAATATAATTCTGTCTGGGAGCTATGTGATCAAAACAGCTTTGAGTTTGTTGCAGCACTTGGCAATATTCCAGCTATAAGGCAGCGATCTGTTAACAATCGAGTCTGGACCAGACACTCCAGTGATAAACAACATGAGCATCGATCTACGTACTTTGGATGCGATGACATGTGTCAACCAAGTCAGCGAGCCTGACCCCCCGATCCCGTTAGTTGCCTCTTACGACAAGCATGGGTTACTGAAGACCAATTCTAACCCAGATCTTCACAAACTGCATCAAAGAACACTTCTGTAAACCTTGAAAGAAATCAGCATCAATGACAACTCTTGTTGATCCTGCTTTTGTTTGAATGAGGATGAAGAAATGCTGACCTCTTTCTTAGGAGTCATTTTGGGGGTTGTTGATTTCAAGGTCATCCATGAAAATAATTCTGTGGTAAAAGTTGTGACAATCAATTTGAAGATTGGGAAATTGTTAGAAAAACAATGCAATGTGGGTTCACAGTGAATTTGTGCAATGTATTTATCAAACAGATGTAACACACCAGATGATCAAGATGCGGTCTTACCTGCACCTGTGTAGATCCGGGTTAGAATGAATCTTCAGTAACCCATGCTTGTCGTCACGAGGGTAACTAACGGATCGGGTGGTAAGGCTCGCTGGCTTGGTTGACACATGTCGTCGGTTCCCAATTGCGAAGATCAATGCTCATGCTGTTGATCACTGGATAGTCTGGTCCAGACTCAATTATTTACAGACAGCCACCATATAGCTGGAATTTGCTGAGAGTGTGGCGTAAACTAAACTTACTCACTCACGGTCTTACCTGCATCCGTGCTCTGATGAGGTCGAGGGGGTTGGTGATGACAGCGGCGGAGATGCCACTGAGAGGCCCGGACACCACCTGTAGCACCAACCTCGGGACAAAGGCAGGGGCAATACTGGCAAGCATATCTGAAGCATAACATCAGAGAATGTTGAACAGTAATAATAATAGTAATAATATAATAATAACAACACACTTCTAATGACCCTGCTTTCCAACTTCCAGCTAAACAAATCTAGGGTAGATAGACTCCAGAGAAAAGGAAGGTTGTTAAGTGAGTTCAAAAGGATGAGCAGTGAGTGAGTGAAGTTTTACGCCGCACCCTGCAATATTCCAGCTATATGGCGGCGGTCTGTAAATAATCGAATCTGGACCAGACAATCCACTGATCAACAACATGAGCATCGATCTAAATTATTTCCTACCGTATTGTGCATATTTTATATCCGTACATACGCCGATACGGCCCTTATCTGGAGCCCTGCTGAAGATCAATTCTAACCCGGATCTTCGGGTTTGAGGGGAATTGAGTTTTCATATGGAAAAATTATTAACAATATGAAAACTGCCGCTGTTATGGAAAATATTGAACAAAAATGTTTGTGCTAAAATAAAGATATAATTTACTCACACAATACACATAGTTCGGACTTTATTCATGGGTTGCTTTTATGTGTTAGAGACCCATGCATAAACATGTCATCACTCCATGGTGTGAAATATATTCATTTTAAAAATAAATAATGCATTTCTCTCAATAATACTAACTATAAGCCCTCTGGGAAGCTACCATATAATTTATTCCCAAAAAGAATTACACATTTAGATTACAACATTGAATTAAAAAGTTCGAATGAATAAATGCAATGTTGCATTAAATCAACTCTCGCACCCTCTCCCGACTGATGATGATTTCAAGTGAACCCCACAGAGTTATGTCTCTTGGAGCTCTCTTTACGAATATAATACTCACAACTTGTGATTGAAACCAGTTCGGAAAAACACTGACAATGTTTTCGATGTATGGAGCAATCATTTACTTTCCATATATGGCAAGTGTTCCCTGTTTGGAAGCTGTTGCTCCTCGATGTTTCAATTATAGATTTGAGGCAAGTCATCAACAGGAAGCTAAAGTGAGTGCATATGCGTTGATTTCGTTTATTGCTCACTTATCATCAATTTGCATTGGACTGTGGATCCGATTCAAATAGATGAGGTGAGGTGCTCAGTGCAACCTTACATATAAACCTGAAGGGTGCTTCTCACTATATATTGCTCATATGGCTTCGTTTTCGGAATAATAACATGCTTGAGGTTTTTGCTTGCTCTCAGGTTTCCTTTTTTTCAATAAGACCTATTTGCTGGTTTTACTTTTGTAAGTAAGACCTCTTTCCAGGTTTTACTTTTTCCTAATTCTATATTAACATCAACATTCAAATTCACACGATATGTTAGTGTTTTGAAATCAATTGAAAAATAGCATCAAAGATCAACTTTAATGTGCAAATACGTTTTTCCTAGCAGGATTGGAACCATTATATTTCAGATTCCTGGCGGACGCACTACACCTCACAGCCACCTGGCCCACAAAGAGCGAGTGTTGAATTATCTATTTATAGTTAGGCCTACTGTCATTCAATTGATTTTACTAAGCTTCAGTTACTGTTATGTAGCTTCATTACATTGTCATCTAATTATCCATCATTGACGGTTTATATGTATAATAAAGCACTCCCTCCTCGGTTATGGTTGGGAACGACCATCGGTGGAGAGAAGTAAGACCTCGAGCCTCTCAAATAGCTCGGTCTTACTTCTCCACACCCTCCGTCTCGGTCTTACTTTCCCAACCATAACCCTAGTGGAATCGTGCTTTATCCTACTTACATAATAACCTTGTTGAACCAGACAAACACACTTTGCGTATGCTGCTTGATATAAAATTATATAAAATGGCAGAGTTTCGGAACTGATTATTTCGATCATCATTGTGATAAAACTGGTCTGTGTGTATTAAGATCATTTCATGTTAGTTCATAAAATTTGATGACATCAGGGATCAACCTGGTCCTCGATTTGGGTGCCATGGCACAGTAAACATGGTAAATATAGAAATGGCACGGCTGAAATATCTTCCCAGTGCCCTGGCATCACACCTAAACTTGTACTAACAAATAATTTTCACCATGATTCATATAACGGAAAATGCAATAAATCGGATCAATTCAAATTATTGAAGACCAGTTTTTGCACCCCATGAACGTTGATGAAACTCTTGATTGATAGTATGATACACTCAATCTCACATCCTTATATGGGGGCAGTGGGGTAGCCTAGTGGTTAAAGCGTTGGCTCGTCACACCGAAGACCCGGGTTCGATTCCCCACATGGGCACGATGTGTGAAGCCCATTTCTGGTGTCCTCCACCGTAATATTGCTGGAATATTGCTAAAAGCGGCGTAAAACTTAACTCAGTCAGTCAGTCAGTCCTAATATGGGCATGGTCATTTTGAATTCCAGTGCCCATGACAGAAAATCCTGTTTTGGGTGATAACATGGATCAGTTTATGGGTCCAGGGCAAATGAAGCCATGACAGTGTTCAGGAAATCATGCTCTGAAGGTTATAGGTTTACATGATGCATACTGATTTACTAAAGAATAAATTGAAATAAAATAATTGTTGTAACAGTTCAAGCCTGGATCATCAGAAAGATGGGCACCCTAATTTTCACAAAGGCACACTTAAATTATCTGCCTTGTGCCCTATGGCACCCTTACTCCTAGTCCTATCCCAGGCAGGGGTGCAAATAACCCATTGCCCCACGTCAGAGTCAAGTGTTTTTTCTGTCGGGCAAGCAAATTTGTATTTCACACTGTACCGGTGTCCAGTTGACTTTCCAATGTTAATTAAGTTGTTTGTTTAAAAAATCAGCAAGAAAATGGCCGGTATAGTGGAAAAATTATCAGGGTAAGTGACTTTAGGGACCGTTCATAATTTATGGCTAGAGGGGGTGATGATGATGTTTATGGAGGAGCATGTACAATGTGGATGACCCCCCCTAAAATTTATGTACAAAATAAGTGATCCCCCCCCGCATTATGTACAAAATCAATGACACCCCCTCCCCTTCCCATAATTTCTAAGCATAATTTTAAACATATTTTTATGTAAAAAATTGCTGACCCCCTTGTATGCGTGTATACAAAATTGCTAAAGCCCCCTAGCTCTCGAGAACAAAATGGGTGACCCCCTTAGAATCATCATCACCCCCTAGCCATAAATTATGAACGATCCCTTACATGTGCCATTGTACCGGAGTACACTGGCAATTTTAAAGTTATTTCCACCCCTGCCTGGACATAAATAGTAATCGTCATTCAATCCTACCCCAAGCCAGTTCTTCATACATAATACGGTGAAATGAATGCAATCCTTGCGCACATTCTTCCATGATGTTGACCCCAAGAATTATTAGCAACACTCGCTTCCTGCTTAAGTTTTTAAAGAATAAAATTTGTGGTATGATTATTTCTGGAAAAATTAACAGAGCTGATATCATGAAAATATTAACAAGAACATGCACTGGGTGAGTGAGTGAGTGGGTGGGTGGGTGAGTGAGTTAGTGAGCTTTTTGACTCTGCGTGAGTGAGTGAGTTGAGTTTAACATGTTTTTTAGCAATATTCCAGCAATATCACACCAGAAATGGGCTTCATACATCATACCCATGTGGGGAATCGAACTCGGGGGTCTTTTGTGTGACGAGCGAATGCTTTAACCACTAGGCTACCCCACCGCCCCCAGGTACAATATAAGGGTGGATTAGGTAGTTTCAGGTTGCACCAGTGCAACTTCTAAATGTTTAACCTTGATGACGGAATGTCGAGGATACAAACCCATGAGGTAATGTCGCATATCGACTCAGTCTCCTACCTGAATAACTGTCATAGAAGAACCACCAGAGGGCGCTGTTTGGTGCAAACACAGTCAGTGACACAAAATAACCCTTGTAAAATCCAAGCAGCCCATTTCGCTTGTACACTTCTCGTATAACTGCACTTACTGCACCAAACCGTCTCTTCTTGACCTCGTCAGATATTTCTAATTTTTGTAAACTTGATAACTTCTTTTGGACTTTTTCACTGGAAATGTCGGAAGACCCTGTTTTTCGCCGTCCCATCAACATAAGGTGCTGGGTTATTATATCAAGAGGCACTGACAATGTCTGTCCTACAATGGAGGCACCTCCTCCAGCTATGAAAGACCTTGTTTTGCTATTTGTTACAGATGTGTTTTCCATGAGGTAGTGGCGAGTGCCCTCGTACGTTGAGATGTATGCCATCGACGGAAACAGCTGCAAACAGCTTACCCAGAAGCCTCGGTACAACCCGGACACGCCCTCATTTCGCGCTATTTTCACAAAGGCGTCAAAAGTCCCCTTGTAAATCGTATGACCCTTTTGAATCTGAAGCCTTGTTTTCACCAGCGTCACTGGGTATAAAAGCGTGCGTATCGTCATTCCACTTGCAAACGTCAAAGGATAATACTTCCTCTTATCCATCATATTTAATTCAATGACCTGAAGGTCATCAACCTCGAAATTCATCTTGCTGCCTTGTATGGTGAACTTTTATCCCATATATTGAAGTTTTTAAATCAAGTGTGGGTTGCTGATATTTCCATCCAGGGTGTCGGGGGTGACCATGGGTTCATTCTGTGTATTTTGGACCCGTTTCCTCTGCTGATGCCTTCAACTATAGAAATAAACATCCACATTAGCATATTAAAAAACCTAAACTCTCAAGAAAGAGAAGCAGGCCTTTCCTCTACCATGGTAACCATCAGAGAAGCAATGAGGTATTTGCACAGAAAATTGTCTAGCCAGTTTGATAATCAGAAATATTATCAATGGGAAAATTATGTTATCAACATGAAAATTGTGATTTGATAATATCTTACAGAACCTGTTGAAACAAAATAAAGATAAATTATCAACATTACAGTGAGCTTAGACTCAGAATTATTCCGCTATATGGGCCAATACATTTAGTCTTTACTTATGGGATGCTTCTAAATTATGTTCAGGAAGCTGTTTTATAATAATAATAATAAATAATAGGCAAGCCTTTCCATCACAGGGATATGCTCAAAGCGTTTCCTGAGCTTAAATTAAAACTATATACAGCTGGCAGGTGTGGATGATTGGAAGTTTGGTCTGTAAACAATCAATATATCCCCATTCACAGAGTGGGTTTAGTTTTAATCAATATTCCTGCAATATCATGGTGGGGGAAATGGGCTTCACACATTGATCTGAATAAAACCCGGTGAATGCTTTAACCACTAGGCTACCCCACCCCGTGCCCCCTATTCACTAGAGAAGGAAAGGGTATTAATTTCTTTTGGACAATTTGCTTAATTTTTGTTCAAAGTTACACTACTATACTTATCTAGTGGTTTGACGATTCATCGATACGCATCGATCCATGGGCTGCTGATACAGTGAATAGATACCAAGTTTTACATTGTCGTATATCCCGATACGATACTTCAAATGGGCCACGATACATCAATGTTTTACTTTGATTATTGCCAACTTGCGATTATCTGTCAAGAAAGACTTGCTTTTTTTTTGATGATTAAAATATATGCATACTTATTTTCCCTTCATTAGTTTCTCTGAAATTCGTGCGTCAGGAACTGTGTCAATCAAAGTGCTCGCATTATATTAACATTCACAAAGTCTGTGTATAAACTTAATTATCTCATTTTCCAAATGAACATAGAAAAACGCTGGCGGAATTTGACGAAATACTCTAAAATAGTTTTATTTTTATCTTAAGGTGTTTTATAGTTGGTGTTAGAAGATTTTAGTATCGTGATACATATCGTATCACCACCCTTGTATCGGGATTTGTATTGTATCGCAGCTTAAGTGCACGATACTTTGGCAATATATCGTTGTCACTAAAATTTTAGTATGGTGATGCATCGTATCGCAGGTTGTATGCCAATACCAGCACTATACTTATCTAGAATCTATCAGCATTAGATATTTTGCTAACACCATCAACAATATTTTTGTTATTTGCATCACTGCTCCAGGCCAGTTTCTCACCATTCTGCTTTCCAGCTTGAATATTAACATGTGCTGGGTGCATTATGCAGAACCAGTGCAAGTTCTCAAAGATAAAATCAGAACCTGTGCAAGAATACTTTTTGGGGAATTCAATATATTTTGCCCCTCTGGGTCCAGGGCCTTGTAAATTTTGCTACCAATGAATAGCCATTCTGCATGAAAGGGTGACTACCAAAATGTATTTGTTCATGTGCTGCCCTAAGCATGCTAAGTGTGTGACAAAAGTGGCATGTTGCAGTAACAGTCAGTCTAAGTAAACTTAGCCTCAGTATTATTCGTTACCCTACTATCCTGAGTACAGGAGTGTAACGAATAGTACTGAGACTAAGTTTACTTAGACTGCAGTAACAGTGATATTCATGTGTACTTGACAATAAGTAGGGCACATCTCTTACGCATTATTCACTGTAGTGGAGTTCATGTATGCATGACGCCTACACTGGACCATCATATATTATATCAATCTGTACTGATCTGAACTGACAGAAAATAAATTGCTGGAATGAAGAGTAGACATAATAACATGAATGTCGGAATATTTCTTAAACTTGTTAAAATGAGGATCAAGTTTTCAAGTTGTAATTACTTGACATGCTTAATTTATATTACATAAGAAAATGAAAAGAGATGAATTTTGATACAAGAACAGACATGATAGCGAGTGAGTTTAGTTTCATGCCGCACCCAGTTATATGGCGGTGGTCTGTAAATAATTGAGTCTGGACCAGACAATCCAGTGATCAACAGCATGAGCATCAATCTGCGCAATTGGGAACGATGACATGTGTCAACCAAGCCAGCGAACCTGACCACCCGATCCCGTTAGTAGCCTCTTACGACAAGCATGGGTTACTGAAGGCTCATTCTAACCCGGACCTTCACAGGTCACAGAAATGATACTCACAAATAAAAAACCATAATCATTTCAATCAAAATCTTGTTATTGGTTGTGAAGAAGTTTTATCAAGTTTATATGATGAAAACCTTACCATTTTTTCCGTTGTTTTAAACATCACTCAGCAAGTCATACCACGAAGTCCTGTTACATAAAGGAAAATAATTCATCAGTGATTAATATTAGGATCAACGTCCCACATTGTAAGGTTATCACAGCTTTAACAGTACCTGGACACAAAATCCAGTTAAAACACCTTTAGGACAATGATCAATATAGACAGAGAACATGTAATAATCACGTGATGTGATAATATCCTACCACATGGTATCTGATAAAGGATCCTAATGATGTCAAAATGATTCCCTGTGACATTCCCTGTCACTATATTGCCTGGTCAATAATTCGGCTAGAATGCACTTTACCGGGCGCAGCCCTCGCTGCTCCCTTTACGTGTCAGATTTCGGAATGTTTGATGTGCTGCTTGACAAGATTGCAAGCAGTAAATTATTGTTTCGTGTTAACAACAATGAGGTTGTAGTTTCCCTGGTCTTCCTATGGACTTGTTACACGTAAACACTGGTAAATGTTCGCAGTTTCGCTGAGTAATACAATTTTTGTCCCAAGAGAAATAACGAAATGCCAGTAGTTCATGTGAAACAATGATGTGATATTTGTAAAGCGAGGCTGGCACCATCTAGACGTGATCATGAAAAAAACACTGCAATTTGCGGTCACCTGATCAACTGAATACCATCACAGCTGAATACTGACCCGCTTTAGAAATGGTAATTCATTTGGCATTTCCCAACCCCAAAAGCGTCTGGGTCAGATATCCTTTTCTTTAAAACAAGTGCCCAAATACAACAACGCGTATTCAACTAAACACTCAAAAAATGAGTTCTGCTAATCACCGTTTGACTTTCTCCTCCAGATAATCAAACCGGAAGCTGAAATGCAACCAGAAACAACAGCTCCGAGGTAAATATTACTTTAAAAAAGGATTCCATTAGATAAAAGTTTTTATTAATCATAACACTTTTCCCCTTTCGAAGTAACTTTCTTGCCTTAAGAGTTCAATATCAAATCACCAAACGTTTGAAACACAGTTTCTTTTACCATTACGAAAGGTATCACACTTAGATGTTGTATTCGTTTGAAAATAGGTTTCCGAAAACAGTGTTCTCCGAATACAACATATTAGTGGCTGTGAGGAAAATCTTCCTTGAGTGAATTTGCTGCTACAAAATCGACGAGAAAGATTACGGAAGATGAAAATCGTTAGCCAATATATTTCTGTAAGTTTCATTACAAACAAGTGAAATGGCCGATCACGTGTAGCGTGTACACCCGTTGTATGGTCAGTGGAGCAGAAACGCCACTGGCGGAATAAGGCGAGCATAGCCGAGGAAGCTCGATGATTTTCTCTTGTGTTTACAAATATTGATTCATAACGATCAACTTTTACTGCCACAGTTAAGAGAATCATCTCACGTGTTTATTTCCCTAAAACATCAAACTAACAAACAAACAAAAAAACAACACAAGTTCACACACAGCAAAACAACAACAAAAACAATTGCTGAAAAATCGAAACTTTTTCTTCATAAACATTCTCATACCGAAATATAGAAAGTGAAATAAATGATTTGTACCTGCTCTATGTCGACAGTTTCTATCTTACTATACTGTCATTTGTTTTGTTTGCACGTCGTAGCCTATAATCCGAAAATTTATTTTAAGTCACCTTGTTCGTTCGAGGCTTTCGTGGACTCGGTTACAGCTGGATGTACCGTTCATAATTGATAGCTGGTGGGTGGGGTTTGGGGGGTTGGGTGTCACTCATTTTGTTCTGTGGAGGTAGGCGGGGGTAATAAATTTTGTACACATGCACAAGCTAGGGGGATCATCAATTTTGAACATAAACATGTTAAAATGTTATGGGAAGGGGAGGGGGTCATTGGTTTTGTACATGATATGCAGGGGGTGTCACATATTTTTTACCGTAAATTTTAGGGTGTGTGGGTCATTCACAATGTACATGCTTCTGCATAAAAATCATCATTGGGGGTGGGGTACCATAGTGGTTAAAGCGTTCGGTCGTCACGCCGACGACCCGGGTTCGATTCCTGATATCGGTACAATGTGTGAAGCCCATTTCTGGTGTCCCAGAAAAAGCGGCGTAAAACTAAACTCACCCATTATGGATGAATCATATCTGGTACTGTCAACTGCTGGGTTAATGGAGTGATTTGTATCCAAGTCACACCACGCGAAAGGACGATATTTCCCAAATGTATGCAGAGGTTAGCTGGTTTTCAGAATTTGTATGTACTGGTACTGTGGTGTCAGCAATTTTGCACATAAAAATATTAAAAAACTTTGCTTAAAAATTAAGGGAGTGGGTGAATTTAGTTTTACGCCGCACTCAGCAATATTCCAGCTATATGGGATGGCGGCGGCCTGTAAATAATCGAGTCTGGAACAGACAATCCAGTGATCAACAGCATGAGCATCGATCTGCGCAATTGGGAACCGATGACATGTGTCAGCCAAGTCAGCGAGCCTGACCACCCGATCTCGTTAGTCGCCTCTTACGACAAGCATGGGTTACTGAAGATCAATATTCTAGCCCGGACCTTCAGGGTTAAAAAATAAGGGAAGGGGGTGGGGGTATCATTGGTTTTGTACATGATATGGCGGGTGGGTGGGGGTGGGGGTGGGGGTGGGGTGGGTTACCCACTTACTTTGTACATGAACTTTAGGGGCGGTTTTTGTAACCTAGTTGTTTAAGCGTTGGCTCGTCACGCCGAAGTCCCGGGTTCGAATCCCCACATAGGTACAATGCGTGAAGCCCATTTCTGGTGTCCCCTGCCGTGATGTTGCTGGAATATTGCTAAAAGCGGCGTAAACCAAATTCAGTCAGTCAGTCCATGAATTTTAAGGTCATTCACATTGTACATGCTTCTCCCTAAAAATCATCATCCCCGCAATTTTATAGCCATAAGTTATGAACGGTCCCTAACACTTAGTCATATCCCAAACAGTATCTCTGGAACCGCCTCAACATGTACACCGGCCTCACGTGAGTGACAAAAGGGCGGCAAAATATCAGTCTCGGCTCTCACCAACACCAGCCACGACGACAGCTTGACAACGACGTCGCGTGGAAGCACTCAGGCATTGCACAACCAAACAAACGTATCGCTGTGAAATGTTCTGCCAATCATGCTGGATCTTGCCGCAACCTCTTCCATTCTCTTCTGGAACGTCCTGTGATTTTGTCTCGAAGCCTGTCATGCATGTCGTCTGCTTCGCCTGGATCAAGAGGGGCCATCTCCACAGCAGATTGTAAATTATATCGTGTTCACCAAACTGAATAATTCATATCATATCCTTCATGAGCATATACCTTGATTTATTTAATTAAAATATCAATGTAATTATAAACGCCCAAACGGTCTGTTTAAATTGAAGTTCCAAATAAACAACATCTCTGAGCTCATTTGATCATTTGTTCAATTGAAATTATTTCAGTTGAAAATATCTTAAGCTAGCAACATTACAAATTGAGCAACAGCGTAAAAGATAACAAACTCGGCCTACTGCCTTATTACCTCATAGTTTATTCAGCCATTATGGGAGCGGCCGTCTGCCTGAATTGTATTTGTGGATATGTCTTTATGTCGGTGTTTCGGCGTACATTCATCCCAGTAAAGCTAGTCAGGTAACAGGCATAAAATTCCATTGAAGCCGTAGGGCGTTACACTAAGGACGAACGATTTAAAATGTAATCGAAAATACACTATTGTCATATAGAAATCGTATGGCAATCCCCCGCTGTGATGTTGCTGGAATAGTGCTAAAAGCGGCGTAAAACCAAACTCAGTAGGGCAATCATTATGACAAAACCTTTTGAAAGGCAGAAGGCATTGAGTAACTTCATGTCGGGACGATGTCACAGCCATTATTTGCGGTAATAAAGAACAGCGCATTTAAACATGTGCCAATGGTCCCCTTTTGTTTAAGTGTGCTTTGACTACAAGCAAGTCAGACGTTGTAACGTAATATCCTGCATAGCAACATACCTCACTGGACGTCTAAGTTAGTGCATGCTGATACTTGTGTTAACTGACTACAATGGATTTTTTTCATGGTTATGATTGATTATGACGATACACTGGAATAACGGATACCGACTGAGCTGTCGTGATGTGCATGAATATGCGTGAGACTACATTGATGTTATAGCCCGACCCGCGTATTTCAGTATTTCAAAATATCGATCGAAGAATTCACCAAGAACACGTTGATTGAGTAATCATTGTAATCTTGCAAAGTGGATTTGTGTCAAAGGTAAGTGTATATTCTTATGGTTGTATTGTACAGACGGAATATATCCTGAAATGTAGTGCCCGTGTGAAAACAGCATATTTTTTTCAGCGGATTAGCAGAAAGTACGTTTATTTGACTGCTCATTATATGAAACTGAGCGGCGGACATAATGGATGTTGGTGTCGGGTGCCACTTGGTTGACCAGTGAGACGTGACACATCAGTGTGTCAAACAGCTGAAACTAACTTACGTGATCAGTTATAAGAATCCTGAAACAATGTATAAATATTTTAAATATTACATTGACACGTGCTCTCGGGGTAGTTTCTTTGTCCACCCCCCGTCATCCGTGTCGAAACCCCCATGCCCAAGTTTACCATTGTTACAGATGTGCAGTGAAGCTGTTAATAAATAACTCAATATTATGATAAAATATTTCATGAATCGTGCTTTCAGTTAAAATTCATGTGATAATTGCAAATATATTTTGAAATTGTATAATGGAGAATTATTTAACCCCGGCAGACTGGTGGAAGCGTGCGCAGCAGAATTCTACTTCCGGCTTAGTTATACAGAAAAAAATCTCACGGTAATTTTAATTCCTGCATGTGAAGCAAAGCTTAACAGTACAGAAAGTGCATGTTTCATATTTGCTTGACCAAGTTTCTTATTACTGTACACGATATGAAGCTGACCGATAGAATGACCCTTTGAAGACGCATGTACTGCAATCAATAACACAGGCAGGCACTTTACACTGAATGGGCCGTTGTCGGCACGGGTACAGATGAGTACCCACGGGGCGTTTCTGTGTATAGAAACGTACCCTAGCCAAACTCAGAATTCGGAAACGTGCTCTAGGACGAGTCCGTTCTACATTGTGTCGTTTTCTAGATCGGAGCTGTCATTCTATTGTATTAGATGCATTTGATTGCGTTATATGGAAAAAAATAAGACCAAACGAGCATGCCCTTTAACCAATGTTTCGCGATGCACAGCATCACTTGCAATCAGTTGAACGGCCTTACCGGATGCGTTTTGTATTTTGACTTTATTTAGAGTACATTGTGCAGAAATATACTTGGGGTGCATATCTGAAGCACCTTTATAAACAACGACTCTTTCAGCGTCCGTTTCTTTATTTTGTATTTGTTTAGAGTACATTTCTGTATATACAGAAATATACTTGGGGTACATATCTGAAGCACGTCAACAACGACCCTTTCAGGGTCCGTTTCTGTATTTTGAATTTGTTTAGGGTACATATCTGTGTACAGAAACTTACATGGGGTACATATCTGTAGTACCTGTACCGACCACGGTTTCAAATCCTTCGAAGTTTGAGTGCTGTTTCACTTTAAGTTGTTGTACAGTCACTTCTGGTAGTTGTCATGTACCGTTCGCTTATATTTTTTTTATTCACATATATTTGTGTGTGGAATTTGTGTTAATGAGGCGAAGATGTCAAGCCTGCATCAATGCATAAATGGACACCCAGACTGACCAGTTGACCTTGCGTCTAAACCCCCTCTGGTGTTGTGCCTGTACCCGGGTTCGATTCCCCACATGGGTACAATGTTGTGAAGCTCATCCCCCGCCGTGATATTGCTGGAATATTGCAAAAGCGGCGTAAATTTAAACTCACTCACTCACGCACGCTGTTGTGGCTCATTTGCATGTGCCATGTACTGTTCTTGTGAAGTCTTGATCTTTACCATACCTTGAAACTTTTATATATTTTTAACTTTAGAGTTGGGTATTACCAAAATTTTCGTATGGCGATATATTGTGGTATGTGTTGGCATATTGCAATATGTATTTGCAATATGTTGTGAAAGTGTAACACATGGGTTAAGGTAATGAATTATTGTTTCCTTTCTTTTGAAACCATGTTTCCAAATTGAAGACTTCGCTCCAAAGTTTTAGAACTCGAGAAAAAGCGTCTGCAGTGTCGTCCGCCATTTTGGTTTGTTTATCAACGGTACCCATCTATCTTCTTTATTCATATGGTTTAAAAGTCACGCAAATGCAATTATATGACCAATAAACATTCTCAAAACTAATGTATAATAATACAAAGGAAATACATCATCACGAAAATTACCGATCATGGTCACGGAAATTGCCGATCGTATCGGGTGAACCGGATCGCGAAAAGTGTACCGCAATATATCGTATTGTGAAGTTCGAATTGCAATATACCGGTTAACCGGTATTTTCGCCCACCCCTACTTAACTTAAGTGCCCATGTGAAAAGACCATATTTTGTTCAGTGGATTAGCAGAAAATACGTAGCCCAATATTATCAAACTGTACCGCGGACATAACTGTTAATATTTACGATACTTTGAAACATTTGTCATTTCATGTAATAACATTTCATTCGCGGAAGTAAAAGTGTCCAATTTTGTTGTGTGTCACAGTATATACTCTGAGTGTATTTAGATTTATTGTAGACAATATTTTCACCAGACACGTATGTCAAATTCAGTTTAGCGTTAAGATACAGAGTGCTTTGTTATACTCATTTCTGTATCCATGGCCGCTGTCAAATTGTCATGTAAAATGTGAAAGGAAGGAGCATATGACGTCATGTCACGTGATAGTGACAGTGATACCCGTTTCTGCTCATCAACTGTCGGGTGTTTTCGTAATAGGCGGAACAACGATTGCATTTTTTGTGTTTATTGCGATTTTTTTAGAAATTTTTGTTAAATTTTTATCATAGAAGGTGACTTTTAGAATCCTTTTTACCCATATGAAAACAACAACTTTTGTGTTAGTATTCTCTAGTGGTGTTTCGATTAATTAAAATTATCGAAGATTGGTCGAAGTGACCAAACGACCAAGCAATCGATCACATTTTCTCATAATCGAACATAAACGATTTTGGAACTGCTGTTTCAGTCTTTGAAACACTTGAAGATGGAACATATCTTCGAAGTTGTCAGGGCCTAAAAACTTGTTTAATTCTTAGAAAACTCACTTCACTAACTGAAAAGTCATGACTGAATATTTCTTGAAGACCCCAGAAGGTTTATGTTCATGATATATCAACATCACTTTAAAGTAGCAAGGTGCATCATGTTATACATATCTGCAATAACAACCTGGATAGGAAAATCTGAAAACTGACGCTAACCAATTTTTATCGATGATTGTTCGTTGGTAATGAGATTATGAGATTTCAACCAATTCCCAACACTAGTATTATCCTATAAGTATTGGAGGTGGTGAGGTGAGATTGGGTTTAACGTCGTGCTTGAGAATATTTCGCTCATATGACGACGTGCATGCGTGTGTATGTGTATGTGCGGCTGCTTGTACTAGCCCAGACTTAAGCTGGTTTTATAGTGCTAGCCCACTGAGATACCATGCCGCAGTGAAGCATGAATACCCCACTCAGACACATTATACTGACTCCGAGCCGACCAGTCCTTGCTGTACCCATTACTGCCGAGCGCCAGGCAGGGACCAACAAGTACCATATTTTAACGTCTTTTGGTATGACGCGGTCGGGGATCTATAAGTATTGGATGGTATTCAGCACGTAACATCACATCTTCGTCAATGTGGCACGATAGCGTGATCTGTTTTAGAATCTGGGGCATTGAATATGGGACTTGAATTATATGCGCGTATGGATGACATATCGAATCGTGTGTTGCGTGTTTATGTGGGACATGCTAATGGTCAAACCTTTGACACGATCCAGTGTCAGTGTCCCTTATTGTGCTGGTAAGATAGGGTAAGGTTAACACATGTAAGAATTTTACACCTGTATCTTCATCTACGTCCTTCGCCAATGAAGATCCGGGTTAGAATTGATCTTCAGCAAACCATGCTTGTCGTAGCCCGTGAAGATCCGGGTTAGAATTGGTCTTCAGTCACCAATGCTTGACGTACCCCATGAAGATCCGGGTTAGAATTGGTCTTCAGCAACCCATGCTTGACGTACCCCATGAAGATCCGGGTTAGAATTGGTCTTCAGCAACCCATGCTTGTCGTACCCCGTAAAGATCCGGGTTAGAATTGGTCTTCAGTCACCCATGCTAGTCGTACCCCGTGAAGATCCGCGATAGAATTGATCGTAAGAGGCGACTAACGTGTTCCAGTGGTCAGGTTCGCTGACGTTGTTTGCACATGTCATCGTATCCCACTTGAGTAGAACGATGCTGATATTGTTGATCACTGGCTTGTGTGGTTCAGCCTCCATTATTTACAGACTACTACCATGTAGCTGGAATATTGCTTGGTGCGGCGTTAAACAATAAACCAACCAACCAACCAACCATCAAATCATATGTATCACATATACAAACAACTAGTAAACTATTCTTCTTACAAACTCCACTACCTATAGGGGGGCGGTGGGGTAGCCTAGTCGTTAAAGCGTTAGCTCGTCACGCCGAAGACCCGGGTTCGAATTCCCACATGGGTACAATGTGTGAAGCCCATTTCTGGTGTCCCCCGCTGTGATGTTGCTGGAATATTGCTAAAAGCGGCGTAAAACCAAACTCAGTCAGTCAGTCAGTCACTACCTATAGGGCGGTGGGGTAGCCTAGTCGTTACGGCGTTCTTTCGTCACACTGAAGACCCGGGTTCGATTCCCAGCATGGGCGCAAGGTGTGAAACCCATTTCTTTTGTCCCCCGCCGTGATATTGCAGGAATATTCATAAAAGCGGCGTAAATCCCAACTCACTCACTCACTTCCTCAGTCACTCACTCACTATCTATATCATGAATATCATGGTCGAGAGAGTGTTTGTAAAGTTCAGTTGTTGCCGGGACTACAGTGCACGTAATGACAGCTAGTCACGCAGCACCAAGTGGTTGAAGTATAAGTGCACTCAGTGCTTGCATGTTGTGTAGTTTGGTTGTGTACGGTGATAGCTCTGTGAGATAATGCCCAGGCAGATAATCACTTGACTTAAGGTTGTCACAGGGTGCTAGGAAGCATCTTCCATGACTGACTGACTGACTGAGTTTGGTTTTACGCCGCTTTTAGAAATATTCCAGC